ATCTCGGGGTAAAGGTGAGAAAGAAGAGAAGGTAAGTCTCTTTTTAACAGGAAAGTAAGCGCCCACCTCCCCACCTACCCCCGCCTCACTTTTCCGCAAGTTGGTTCTCGCTCTTCATTTGGGGGGCGCTGGCCAAACTGGGGTGGGGGGTCTTGTTCAGCGGGTATCTCTTACTGCTCCTTAAAGTTCAGAATCGCCCTCTCATATCCCCGGAGAGAGGGTCTCCTCCTGTTGACAAACGCACCGGAGCTGGGGAAAAGCGACGCCCACGACAAGGGGCGTCGTCCTACCGAAGGAAGAAAGTTGGGGGTCCTCGCCATATCGAGGTTAAAGAGGAATCTCTCCCCTCGTCGAAGCCATGACTCCGAGAAACCGTTTCCCTCCTCCGATGCAGCGCTTGGTCGGCTCCCTCTCCGTGGGTCGTACCGCGGCCGACAGCCCAGCCTCCGTTCCCTTCGGCAACCAGGAGGGGGAGGGGGGAGGGCTCCCCTGCAGCCTGCACCACCAGGCTGGGGGTTCCCTCAAGGGTTGATGGGGCGGGGCGGCTACGCCCGAAACCTTCCCGCCCCCGGCCACTTACCCTGAGGCCTGCTCCGCGGCCCGCGCTTGCTTAGCAAGCTCAGCCTCTGCAGCCGCAGCCCGGTCGCCACCAAGTCTACCTGAGCCTACAGTGCCAAGAGAGCCCGAGGGCGCTCCGGCCTGCGCCGCCTCTTCGTCTCTATGGTTCTCTCCCCAACACCCCCCTCCCCTCCGCCCCCCCTACTTCCTCATCCGGGGCCCAAGCCAGGCCAGCCACGCGGGTTCGCCCAAGTCCCGCCCCCGCACGGCGCGCGCGCACGCCTAAAGACGGCTCTTCCCGCGTGCGGCTCCCCGCCCTCTGGTGGTTTTCGCTGTCCTCTGCCCCGCCCCAGCGGCCTGGTTCCTTAAAGTGAAACATACGTATGACTTGCTTAGAGCCCCCGACCACTTAGTGTGTTTCCATTGCCAGCACTCTGGGCCAGCCCACCGGTTTTTTGGTCTAGATGGCTGCATCTCTAGCGTTTTCCTACCTTCCTCTTGAAGCCCAAGAGATCTTATATAACTGGTATGGGCGTTTTAGGTAATGTCACTCCCCTGTTCCTTACTCCCCTATTCCTTGCAGTCTCAATCCTTTACTACACCTTGTTTTAATTTCTTCATAGCTTTAACGCGAGCTGAAGTTGTCCTGTTGCATCTCTTAATAGATTCCTTCTTCCTCCCCTCCCCCCCGCACAGTTTTACTATTCTATGCCAGGGACCTAGCATAGTATCTGACACAAGTAGACATGCAAAAGACTTGACAGGAAATGATGCTTACCTGGGAGGAAATTGAGGACCAGAGAATGGAATCAACTTACCCTAGACCACACAGCCTTGTCTTAAACATAGAAATCAGTTGTTTCTTGGATTTTGTCAATGAGGCAGATTAGAGCGCTAGGGGATTTCAAGGTTTGCAGAGAGATTTTAGTTATTTTTAGAGATTTATTTCTATTTATGCATAGAAGAACTGGGGTGTAGGCTAGAGGTGTGGCACTGAGAGGATTCACCAGAGACAGCATGGGGAGCAGAACAGGTGAATCTACTGAGAGGAGCAGGCAAGACAGAGGTCTGCTGCACCCTGTGAGTTAATTCCCTGGCTACGGATTGAATTCATGTGGTAGGGATGGCAATAGCTTGATAGCCTGAGATTTTAACCCGTGTACAACAGGGAGGCCTGAGATTTTAATTATTTCTTCCTGACCAAGGTCAGTCAACATGAAGATCATTTGGGGCTGAGATATTGTTTGTCTAGCATTAGTTGCACTGAGACAAACCCAAATGCCAGTCCTATTGTGTACAGCCGGAGCAAGTCCAAATAATGTTCATAGCACTTACTAGCTATACATAGGTATTACAGATACTGTTGGGATGAATCAAGTAGAAATTACTTTCAAATATTTGCAGTTTTCACTTTCTCAAGTATTTTTCCCCCTAAGATTATTTATTTATGTGTACAAGAAATGCATGTGTGTGTGTGTGTGTGTGTGTGTGTTTGAGGGTTCACCAGAGAGCAGAACAGACAGATTTACTGAAATACAGGCTGAGGGAGCAGGAGAGGTCTGCAGGTGGGTCAGCTGGTAGGGGGAGGGTTTAAACTCCTGCTGCAGTGACTGCCTTAACCCCTTCTTCCACCTGGGAGAGCCCTCTCAAATACTTTCTCTGGCAACTATGGAAGGGGACCTGAGAAACCCATTATTACTGGTATGTCTTTCATATTCAGATTCTACTATGATTCTGCACAGCACCATTATTGATCGTATCTTTTGAAATTTGTTCAGAGTGGGTTTTTGTACGGATTTTTTTTTAAAGATTTATTTATTTATGCATACAGAACTGGGGTGCAGGCCAGAGGCTCGGGGCGGTGAGAGGCTTCACCAGAGACAGAGTGGGGAGCAGAACAGGCAGATGGACGAAGTACACTGCTGAGGGGAGCAGCGGGCGGGTCAGGAGAGGTCTGCCACGCCATGTGGTCACCTCCGGGGCAGGCGGGAATCGAACTCATGCTGCGGAAGTGGCTTTAGCTTCTCAGTGCAGTGCTTTAACCAGCTGCGCCACCAGGGAGGGCCTTTGTACGGATTTTTATTTTTAGTTTTTATATTTTTAAGGAGTTTTGTATGTATTTAGGCCTACAGAACTGGGATACTGGCCAGAGGTGCAGGGACGGTGAGAGGATTCACCAGAGAGAGTGGGGAGCAGAACAGGCATATGGATGAAATACACTGCTGAGGGGAGTTGCAGGCTGGAGTTCAGAAGTCTGCTGCACCACGTGGATCACCTGGGGGAGAGGGGGTAAGGGCTGGGGATGGAACTTGCACTGAAGTGGCTGCCATTAGCTGGCAGTGCTGCATCCTAACCGGTTTGTGCCACCAGGGAGAGCTGATTTTTATTTTTTAAAGTATTGCATTAAAGATTTGCTCAGCGAGGTTTATTCCCCCCCCCAACATTTTTGTACCCTAAAGCAAAAGTCCCAGGCTTGCTCCTAGTTCTATATTAGTTACAAGGTTTCAATGCTTCATTTATATCATTAGATTTCCTAAAGGGTGAGGGGAGCTAATTTCCTGACTCCATGGTTTGGGCTAGCTAATAATACTCTAGATTTACTAGCATTTTAAATTCCTTCAATTACAAATACCTAAATTACATATCCCTCATCCCATTTGAACCTTGTGAAGGACATGTACTTTTTGTTCCTATCAACAGGGGGAAATTTTAAGAAAAAGACTTATCCTGTGCAAAACCACATAGTGAGAAAGAGGCAGTCCTGAAGGTGGTTAAACACAAGGATGGCTGAATGATGAGCCAAGGCACCTGGGTCCCCATTTTGGGACTACCAGCTCCAGATTTTCCGAAACTCAACAGCTAAAAAAATAAATCTCAGTATTTGTCAAGGTCTTTTTCTTTTTTTTTTTTAAAGATTTATTTATTTATTTGTGCATACAGAACTGGGGTACAGGCCAGAGGCTCAGGGGCGGTGAGAGGATTCACCAGAGACAGAGTGGGGAGCAGAACAGGCAGATCGATGAAGTACACTGCTGAGGGGAGCAGCGGGCAGGTCAGGAGAGGTCTGCCACGCCATGTGGTCACCTCCGGGGCAAGGGGGAATTGAACTCATGAGGAAGCGCTTTAGATTCTCAGTGCTGTGCTTTAACCCACTGTGCCACCAGGGAGGGCCGGTCTTTTTCTTTTTTGATGAGAATTATCAAGATAAAAAGTAAAATATTTGCATTTCTAAGATATGACAATTATGGACACCTCAGGAGAAGGAATAGCATTCCCCTGAAAGCCAGAGACAGTCCCCTTACCTCTTCCTCTGGGGTGGCAGGACTTCCCACCAGCAATTAATATTAGGGTTAGAAAAGAATCCGGGATCTTGGTGTGTATCCTCAATTGTCTTTTACATTTAACATTTTATCCCTGAAAACTGTTGTCACTGTTGCAGGTAGCCAATGTTTTTCTTCAATACAAAATAAAAATTATACAACAGCTGCATTCTAAAGCAAAAGCGTCAATGCATTTATTCTTGTTTTGCCCACTCCTAAGTCGCTGTGTGGTACGGATGCTCTTTTTTCTTACAACATTGGAAAATTTCTGAAAACTTTAAGTCTACTAAAAGGACCTGGCAATTTGTCGGGAGCTCTTGGTCAGTTTCAGCTTAACACAGCTCCGACTTTCTCTTCCAGGAAAGCTGTGCGGTAGAGAGGCCTGAGCCCATGGGTGTGAGGTTAGGCTGCTGGGTAAAGGCTCAGCCTCTGCAGCCAAGCTGGACCCGACCGGGTCAGAATCCATCCTGCTTCCTTCCGAGGAGTTCCGTGTTCCCGGCCTCGATTTCCCATCTGTGAGAAGCAGTATAGGTCACCCAATAGGGGCTGACAATTGTAAGGACATCTGGGAAAACTACAGTAGCTATTGTTATTATTAACTACAGACAAAGTCACTCGGGGTTTGAAGGGCTTTCAAAATCCTCTCAAAGTGCCTACTTGTAGGCAGAGACCGTCGCACGTGCCTTCCCCAACTATTCTTCCAAAACTATTCCATAGCTCTCAGCAGCCCTGTGAGGCCAGATGAGGGTCCATAAACATCCTGTATAGATCCGGGGAGACTCGCCCAAGTTTGCCCTGTTGGGTGACCTCAAAGTCGGAAATGCACCTCTCGGTCACGAATCTATTTTGGAATTTCTGGGAGGAAAAGGATTTCCTTTCTAGGGCCGCAAGAGGCCCCCAGGTCTGCGAGCGGGAAACTCCGGGAGCAGCCAGAGGAGGCCACGCGCGACGCCCCGCCCCTGGTGCAATCCCCGGATGGGGAAATGGCGTGGACACTGAGATGAGGCGGAGGCCGGGCCAGAGCGGCCCTGAGCGGGTGGGCGGGAAGGGGGCGGGGCCCTGGGGCGGAGCCACCCGAGCAGCGCGGGTTCTCAGGTGAGCTCTCGGTGGCCGAGGCGGGCCGGCCGGCTCCTTGGGCTTCCCCGCGGAACCCGCGGGGTGTGGGGGCGTAGGCGGGGCATCCCGAAGAAGCGCGGGGCCCCCAGCTAGGGTCCGGCTCCGGGGTCTCGGGCCCTAAGCGGGAAAGGGCTGTGGAGCTGCGGGTGAGTGTCAACTGCCCGTCGGGCCCGGGTTTCGGGAGCGTGAGGATGGGACCGTGACCCTGTTTCTAGTCCTGGCCCTACCCCCATCCTGCTCTGTGACCAAGTCTCAGTTCCTCTCTGAGCTTCAGTGGCCTCGGCTATGAAATGAAAGAAGGAGGAAGTAATCACTGGGAGTTTGTTCATCGATGAAGGTTCGGAAACGAACCCTGCCACCCTATTTATACTCATCTTGCACGGATATTGATGGCAAAGCGTGACCGGTGGGAGTCCCCCTTTGTATGAGTGACCTTGGACATATCCCTTGGCTGGCTCTCACTTTGCTCATCTACAAAATGAGTGCGCGCGCCTCTTTTAAGATCTCTTTGCTATTTGGGTATTTTGGGTTTAGTGTCTAGGATAACTAGAGCCCTTTTGGGGTGTAATAGTTATCTTTTTGGAAGTTGGCCTCCTGGGCGAATGATTTCATGCAAGCGTTGGTGCCACTTCTCAGCTAATTAACACCATGTTTTCAGTGACCTAAAATCATAAAGCAGTTATAAGGAGAAATCTGATATTCCAGCCTTTTTGTTTGTATGTCAATGACAGGGAGGCAAGATGACTTCTCTCCCCCAAGCTTGGAACAGCTGAAAGAAACAACGGAGCAAGATGAGAACAACAAAGGTCTACAAACTTGTCATCCACAAGAAGGGCTTTGGGGGCAGTGGTCAGTATTGATTGGTCTTCAGGAGTTGTGTAAATTGGCTGAGGCTCTGGTGTCTCCAGTCCTTGAAAATTACATCCTGACTCACGTGACTTTCAGAGGCTAGACAGACTACTTAACTGAGTGAAATAGCAAATAAAATACGGTGATTGGGAGGCAATCGGAGCAGAGCACACAGGCCCCTTTTAAAAAGCATTTAACTTTTGAGTTTTAAGAAATGCTATGAATATTGCCAGTTTACAGTTGGTGTGTTGCAGTTTAGTTACATGTTTTCTAATTAAAATTCTAGCCTGCACTGCTTTGGCAGATATGAGAAACTTATATTTAGAGAGAGAAGGAGAAGACTTGCATGAGACAGGAATGATCAAAGTGTGAACCTTTGCCTGGCTCCAAGGCATAATGAGAAGGGACAGGACACAGCTTGTTGTCTTGCATTAAACTAGAATCTGGAGTATCAGCTGTGCTGCTAACTTTCCCTGGGATCTCCAGCAAAACCCCATCTATAAATTCAACTGCTTTAAAGTAGTTTCTCTTAGTATCTGGTGAACACTTAGTCATGTGATTTCCTCTTCTTTTGCACAGAGATAATTTTCTCTTCTAACAACCAGAATTGGAATTTAACAACACTATGGGTCTTTTTAAAATTGTACTTTAGCATGAATTTGCTCTTGTGATATGTATGTATAAGTCTTACAGGGGAAGGATTGCCCAAAAGGAAAACAATAGTTTCTGTATCATTAAGCGTTACAGGGATTAAGTAAGATAATGAATGTAAAGTCTTTAGCAGAGAACCAGGCTTGTTTGTGCTGTGCAATAAATGTAACCAGTATAATTAAGGAACAAGGCTATACTAGTGATTGCTTTATTTCTGCTAAATATACACAATTTCTGCTAAAACAGCTACCTGTTGTTGACACTAGACTTTGTATCCAGTTAATGCTGTCTAAACATTTTGGAGTGGAATGAATGAATAATAGAGGTAACTTTTGACAGAGGGGAAGATATAAGGCTGTGGTATATACAATTATGTACAATGTAAACAAGTCTGCTTGTACAGGTGTACAAGACAAAGGTTAGATGCTGTACCTTCCTGCAGGACTACAAATAAAAACAAAAACACATCCAACAAAATGAGGTGCATACCTGCTCCGGATATAAAGATTATGAATGCAGCAAGGTCTGTTGTCCATGAAGAGCTTTTAGCTTGATGAGACACGTGCAAAAAGGAAATGATAGATCAGCAGAACAGAATCTATGCTCAGATTGTTTATTGCAGGTTATTAAAGTTCAGGGAGGGTTTCACAGAGGATTTGGCATAAAAATCTCAATGGAAAAATATACCAAATAAATTTTGGGATTAACCCAGTACTTTGTTTTACTCAACTGAAATTTTGTTGGGTCTGATTGCACTTGAAATCTGCTTATACTTTTTTTGTCATGGTTTTAGCATAATTAAAGACCATGTCTTGCTTCCAAAATTAAAACAGAAAACACCACCTTTCCATCTTTATGATTCTGAATTGTTATATTTGTGAGTTCTCTCCAACTCCCTTTGGGAGGTAGGGTGTATAAACTCAGGAAATCCTGTCTATGCTATGGAGTCTCATTGGATCATACTGTGAACTGATATCTGAAGTTTCCCCCGATCAGGCGCTGTTCTGATTTTTTTTTATGACATGTGAGAAGTGGTGGGCTTTAGGAGAAGGAGCCGAGACCACTAATGAGTCCTGACTGGGCTGCTTATTACCAGCTGTGCACCCTTAGGGACGTCACTCCTTCTCTATTGAGTTCTTTTCTCACTACACAATGATCCAGTTGATCTAAAGATTTACTGTGAGGGTCATATTAACAACATTTCAGGGATATTTTTGAATCAGGTTGTGCTATATCTGTGGAACCCAGGCTGTTTTGGGTATATGCTAGACAAATGATATTTGAGGGAGTAAGGGACTGTCTCAGAGGCCTAATTCCAGGAGAGCAAAGCTGTTTTTTTTCCATGGGAACAGTAGGCTCTGAAGACAAGGGTACCAGAATGCTGTCATGCTGTCCCACTTAACTGCCCACTCACAAATTTAGTTGATCCATTAGTTGAAATGGAGCCTGTGAGATGAAGTAGTAACACCAACCTGCTGAGGTGGGGAGGACCCAGGGTGAAAACACAGCAGTCTGTCACCCAGATGAATGTGCTTTGTGCTTAAGTTTGCTGAATTGTGTTTCAGATGATGAGCTAGTTGTAAACCCCAAAGTGTTTCCTCACATCAAGCTTGGCGATATTGTGGAGATTGCTCATCCTAATGATGAATACAGGTGAGCCTCTCCCTTGATTCAGGGGAACTGAGCAAATGCTTTTGCCTTTGCATGATAGGCTTCAGCCGTGTGGGATTGATAAAATAATAATTTGTTTTTAAAGTGGTCCATCCTTTCTGTTTCCAAAGCAGAGAGGACAGCTCTGAAAGGTTCTGTAGCATTTATGTATTTCTTGAGTACAGTGCATTTTCTTTGTTTCTAAGGGAAACTTTTCCCATTCCTGTGCTGTGAGTTACAGTGTGTCCAGGGATGGATTACTCTCTTTAGGGGGGTAAAGAAAGCTGGTCAGTTACTGCTTATAGCTTCCCATGGCTTTATTGCTTTATTTTCCAGCCCTCTGCTTTTGCAAGTCAAGTCACTGAAGGAAGATTTACAGAAAGGTAAGAATTTTGTGTCTCTTCTCTGAGATGTTTATCCCTTACTGGCCCAGAAACTGTAAGACATTCTCTTCATGATCTTAGGAAATAAGGACACACTTATACCTCTCTCCTTTTCTAATTGCGTTGGCTTTTTAAAAATAGTCAGATAAAGGGCCATCCTGGTTGCATAAAGGGGTTAAGTTTCAGCATGAGTTCGATCCTGGGCCAGGGAGTCAATCAACACAGGACAACAGACCTCTCCTCTTTCACCTGCTGCTCCCCTTAACATATATATCAGTTAGTCTGCCTGTTCTGCTCCCCACTCTGTTTCTGGTGAATCCGCTCACCCACTCCCACCTCCGGTGTATATCCTAGTTCTTACACACAAAAAGAATAAAACATTTCTTACCAGACTTACGGGTTCATTGAAAAGTATGCTTCTTTCTAGTTACTACCAAATAGGAAAGGTCTCTGTCCTCTTCTGTATTTTCATAACTATTTGAACTTTCTAATTTCTGCCTTTTCTCTCTGTGTGTCTATCCTTGTCTCCCATTTTTTTCAGTTGCTTAGGCTCAAGTCTTAGCTCATCTGAAAAGAGAACTCCACATTTTAAGCTTTTGGAAAACAGAGAATATATGTTTTACCCAAGGCAAAGGATCAGTTGTATTACTTGTTAGAATATATTTACCTGCTTTTTTAGAATGTTACCTGATCCAGATTTCTTTTTTGTTCCAGAAACTATCAGTGTAGACCAGACTGTGACTCAAGTTTTCCGTCTAAGACCTTATCAGGATGTTTATGTGAATGTTGTAGACCCTAAGGTATTTGTTCTGGACATGAATATCATTTGGGAATAATTAGCACCATTTCTCAACATTAGGTATCTAAAAATTTCAGTTACTTAAGTATAATACTGGACAATTAAAAATGTGATCATATATAAGTACCTTCAGTTACAGGTAGAGTATAGGTTGCATTTAAGCCTCCCTCCCCCTTTTAAAGTGTGTCTTTAAAAGATTCTGTATATCTTTGTTTATTGATATTATTTAGGGAAATAAAGCTCACAGCTCAATGACATGTTTGTTTACCAGAATTATTAGGATTACAGAACTGATACCTCTTTGCACTAACACCTGGAACAGCTGTTGTAGCATCTGTTATAGACTTCTTTATACTTGAAAATGGTCCTTTGGCAGGAGAAAATTCTATTTATCAATGTTTGACTTTCAAGTGGGCTTCTAATTTTTTTTTTTTTGGTCAAAAGATTTCTCTATTGTATGCCTATGCATTGTGGCAAGTAATGCAGCGAGGTATCTTTTACTATCCTTTTTAGGATGTGACCCTTGACCTAGTGGAATTAACCTTTAAGGATCAGTATATTGGCCGAGGAGATATGTGGCGACTGAAGAAAAGTTTGGTAAGTGGGGTCTCCCTGGTGGTAAAAGGGGTTGTCTCAGCACTATGAATCATCCTCAGCCACTGCAACACAAGTTTGATACCCAGCCAGGGAACTGACTCACATGACACAGCAGGGCTGTCCTGTCTTCTCTGCTGCTCCCCTCAGCAGTGTATTTCAGTGGATCTGCACCTTATGCTGTCTCTGGTGAACTCTCTTACCCCTTGCACCTCTGGCCTACACTCCAGTTCTTATATGTGTGAATAAATACAATCAATCTTCAGGGCTCTTGGTGGTGCACTGGGTTAAAGCACAGCACTATGAAGCTATCTCAGCCACTGTAGCTCAAGTTCGATCTGTGGCCAAGGAGGTGAACCACATGGCGTGGCAGACCTTTCCCTATTCACCTGCTTTCCTCAGCAGTGTATTTTAGTACATCTGTCTATTCTGTGCCCCACTCTGTCTCTGGTGAATCATCTCACCCCCCACCCACCCATACCTCTGGCCTGTACCCTAGTTCTATATGCATAAATAAACAAATCTTTAATAAATAAATCTTTAAAAAAATTTAAGTGATTACCCAATACAAGACAAGAAAGGTTGTATAAAAGTAGTTGACACTGTTCTAGAATCAAGGCCTTGTTGCTTCTAGAGGTTAGATTGCTTTTGGCTCTACACTCTTCCCATTTTCCTTACTCAGTTATTTTTTCAAAATGAGCATTTTCCACTTAAAATGATCAGTTCATTAGAACCATAAACTGGTACTGAAAGTTATCCTTATAGGAGTTTTTGAGTATTATAAAATAACAAATTATAAGTGGAATTTCCATATACTCATTCTTAGAAAAAAATATTTGTTCATTTTTTATTTGGTGGGGAAGCGTTCTGTTTTATAAAGTGAGAAATAAATGTTTTACATATAAGTGAGTATATAAAGGTAGGGGAAGGTAAGTGTATCAGTGAAGTTGAGCACACAGTCTTTACTATTCTACACTTGCAAACTCTTAAGAATTTACTGTTCTCCCTGCCCAGCAGGTTTCCCTATGGGACAGATTTATGACTCCCATGTGAGTTGAACTTTGGATTATTAAAAGAGATTAGAATGTCAAGAGACTTTTGTGACCTTTTTTATGGCCTTAATGTGTTATTGAATGTCTCTCTTTTCTCCCTTTAGGTCAGCACATGTGCCTATATCACACAGAAGGTGGAATTTGCTGGCATCAGGTAGATATTACATCACGTTTGACTTAACCACAAGTAAATGGGGGTAGGCTGTAGTGTAGTAACTGGTCTATATCAGGCATTAGAGGCATATGGATGCTCATATAGTAAAATACATAGCAACTTAAAATGCACTGCAGTACTCATAAATGAGTGGAAGTTATTGAAGCCACCTGGTATTCTGTAACAAAGGAGATATAAGTTTATAAGTTTACAACTGAGAAAAGCCTTAAATGACTATATTAATCAACTCTTCTCACTTTACAGATTAGGAAACAGATTTGGAAATAAAAACTAGCATAGCAGTTCTAATTTGCTACCTTTTAAAGTATATTTTACTTGTGATTATTAAAATTATTTCTGTATTTCAGTTTATGAATAGAGAAAGGACTTTTGAAATCCCTCTTAAAGACCAGCAGTTACATAGTGAAGCCTTCAAGCAGCACAAAATAGTGTAATTGAGATAAAAATGCTTCTTCCTAGAAGAAACTGTTGTTCCTAAAAGTTACTGTATAAATACAAGCATATTTACATCTGTTTGACTCACTTTTCATGACACTGATACTGACTGGTGGGTTCCAGTGATGCAGTGTAGACCTCCATTATGAAGTTCTGTCAGCTTCTGACCTAGCAAGAGAGTGATGATTGTTGCAGGAGTGTGGTCATTTTCTAGGTCAGTCATTCTATGTACATTTATTAGCCAAAATCTTTTTGTGAAGAACTTTCTTACCAACAACAAGGGCTATTTACACTGAATCATTGATCCTAAAAGTATAAAGGATTCACTTTTTTCCTAAGAGGGCATTTTAAAAAAAGATGTAGGGTCAAAATTCTTCAGAAAAAATCTTAACAACTAAAGCACAATCCAAGAAGTGACTTAAGTTTCTAGCAGAACAAGAAATGCCATTTGGCTCATACGTTCCAGTAAAAGCTAGTCTCTCCGAGGGGGCAGGCCAGAATCAGGAAATCTGTGTCCCCTGCTGCTGCACTGCCAGTGATTAGCAGCATGGTTGTTGAGGAGGTCAGGGAAATTTGGAGTCTACTCATCTGCCAAATGAAATGTTTGCTTTAGAATCTCTTTCTGTAAAGGACCATAGTAAATAGATGAGATTTCGGTTCTCATGGGTTTCAAGATTCTGTTGCAAATTATTGTCACTTCATGTGGAAATTGTTCTTAGTTGTGAGCCTTGCAGAAACAGGAGATGGGCTGAATTTGGCCTCCAGGCTATAGTTTGCCCTAAACCTTCTTTCCTTTTTAAGTTCTCCCTTTATATAACTATCTTTAGATACAAAGCATTAGATGGAGACTGAAACCCTGAGAAGATACCAGTCTTATACTTTGACAGATGTCCTAGTAGACTGCCACTACAGGCGTTGCAGATGTGGCTGCTGTGCCACGTGTGTGTCATTAGGTGACAGAGAGAAAGAGACTTGTCTATGTCCAGCGTTCTGACCTGTGAATCTTTGGATGACTGACAGTCTGACAGAGGGGGAAAACTGTCCTAATATTTTGCTCTTTCATGGTTAAATATAAGCCACATAGTTGCCTGCTGTTTTTATTCATAATCTTTCTATACTGAATAAAAGGTTACTTTCGTTTGCTAATTGCCTGAAGACACACAAATTGAGGGGAAATAAAAGATACCAGAGGCCCCCATATGAGGGAAAAAACTCAATTATTTTTGTAGTTAGAAGTTATTATAGTTTCTTTAAAATAAGCTTTTTAAACTGGTACTATAGTAAAAAGTTAAAGGCATATGAAAGAATTTCACTTTATGTCCCTGCCTCTGAAATAATCTCTTTCCTTAAGAGATTTAACACTTGATTTTCTTTGAGTAAATTCCCAATGTATTCTTCAAAACGCTAAGAAAATCCTAAAATGGGTATTTTAAAAATTAAAATTTTGAGGGCCCTCCCTGGTGGCACAGCGGGTTAGGATGCAGCACTACAAGCATCCTAGCCACAGCTGCTTCAGTGCGAGTTCGATCCCTGGCCCTGGAGGTGACCCACATGGCCCAGCAGACCTTTCCTGTCTCGCCTGCTGCTCTCATCAGCAGTGTGCTTCTTCGATCTGATCTGCCTGTTCTGTTCCCCACCTGTCTTTGGTGAGTCCTCTCAGTGAGCTGTATGCCCATTTGCTCTGTATGCATAAATAAATAAATCTTAAAAAAATTAAAATTTTGAGATAAAAATATTGCATTAGAATCTTACCTCTTAATAATTAGCACTTTATTTTTAAAAATTCTGAACTTTTAGAATCATAGTCTGTTTAATCTCAGTTTCATTTGAGACCTCATTTGAGAGTTCTCCAGATACTGGTTTTGGGACTACTAGAAAAAAAATTTTTCTTGAATTTAACCTAGACTTTTGGTCATGCTCCTATTGTAGTGTATAAAGGTGTTGAATTACAATGTTGTACATTAGAAACTTACATGATGTTGTTAATCGTGTTATTTCAATAAAAAAAAATTTGTTTTCTAATTCACACCCCATTGGGAGCCACACTGAATAATTCCTAGCACTGATTTCTCAACCACCCTGGAGCCGACCACTGTGGAGAATCAACATTAAGCCCCTTGGAACATCTAGTTTCCATGTTTTCCTGCAAAACCCACCCCACTGGAAGGATCTTCTGGGGTGCTTTCTGCCTTGAACTCTGATTATTTCATATATATCTGTAAAACTCGTCTGTAAATAATTTATGTACAAATTATGTGTATATAATGTTTTTTATTGAGATAATGTTGGTTTGTTAACATTATACATGACTTAGGGTTATAGGTTCACAACCCTTCAAAGCACCAATAATCCTCACCAATCTTTTGGGCCTTTTCACCTTTTTTGAACTCTGACTCTGTGGCAGTCATTATTTTAACATATTTCTCCTAATTATAGAATTAATACTGTCAAGAACCACCTCTTTGGCACATGCTACAGATGCCAGGCATATAACTAAATATTTTTGTCAATAATGCTTCTCATTGCAGACAATTTGAAAAATAAATTAAGAAGCAGAAAAAAATACATAATGTTACTTTTCAGAAGCAATCACTGTTACCATAGTAATAATAGTTGTGTCAAAATGTTTTTCTTCCCTTTTGACTTAAGGCCATATAATATGGACAGTTTGCATACTGTTAACAAAAAAAAAAAAATCCAAACTGTTTTCCTAATTTAAAAATACATATTCTGGAGAATTTGAATAATACAAAGAGTTTAAAGATTACAATGGGTATAACGAATGTTTAAAACCAACTGTCTACCTTGGTATAACTTTCCTATATTTTATTCTCATGCATAGACATACACACATGTGTCTCTCTTAGATTCTGTGTGTACTATTCCATGTTCTTTTCCATTTAAAAGCATGTAAAAAACAGCTGCCCTGCCCACTAGTGACTATACAGGTGTTTTTTTTTTAACCAAACTTTTCCCTTTACAAAGCAGCAAGCCATTCTCGTTCCACCTGTGACAATGTAAATACCTCCCTTTTTTTCTCCTTTTCTTAATAAGTCTATCCTTTCAAAATGTTAAAAAAAAAAAAAAGGCGGGGGCAGGGGATGTAACATATTTGACAAAGTTAGAACTTTTGGTAAACATAATTTTAGTGGTTCTTTCATATCCTATTGTATGGATAAACCACAACTTACTTAACTGATATGTCATTGCTGGGCATTTAAGTTGTTCAAAATTGTGTACCACAAATGACACTCAAGGACAGTGCCTGCAGGTCACATGACCTTCATCCTAGTCTAGGACTTGAACATGAGCCATATTGCTTATAGGAAGCTAAAAGTACTCTTAGGGTGTGCCCTAGGGTATGTAGATTTTGTACTTGCCTCTGTCAGTGACATTTCTTTCTCCCTTGAACCAGTCATAAAGAGAGATACTGCCTCAGAGCCATTCTTGGTTCCTTTTAGGGAAAGGATGATCTGCAGTTTTAGGAATGGGTCAGGATTGCACATGTTATATATAGAACCATTTCTATTGTAATAATCATAATAATATTTACAGTTTGCCAAGTCTTCTCATTTGCAGTATCTTACTGAATATAAGGTCTCTAGAAGATGGATAGGGCAGGATTCTCAGCCACACTTGCTGATTTTATTTTTCTTTTTAAACTGAGACTCAGGAAGATGGTCCCCTGACCTCCACAGGGACTACAGCTGCAGGAACCTAGCCCAGAGGGCCTCCTTCCCTGGATGCCTGTCCAGGCTAGTAGAGCTAGGCGAGCCAGTACACTTACCGTGACCTTGTTACAGAGGCCTGGTTTGATTGGTGCTTGGTAGCTTATATGTAGAATTCCTGATGGAACTCATAGGTCTTGGGAACACTGCCCCTCCTCACATGGGTAAAGATACAGAAGCGCCTTTCAGGTCAGACTTGGTGCAGTTGTCCACATCTCAGCAAAGGAGTACCAGGAAGCTTTCTCTCAGTGAGAGCAGAGCTGGGGTCCTAAGAAGCATATCTCAAAACCACAGGCTTGATCTACCTTCTTTCTTTTACAGACAGGAGGGAGACCCAGGTATGTTGATTAAATTGTCCACTGTTCCCCGGCCAGCCTGAGCTGTGACTCACGGTACCTAGTGTTTTCCTTACTTTTATCTTTTTTTTTTTTTTTTAATGATGGCAGATTGCTTAGTGCTGGACAGCAACTGCATTGGGATAAAGAGAGTGGGGGTGGTAGAAGAGAAGAGTTTGAGCAGTCATGTGAGGGATGATTACAAGATCCTAATAACAGCTCCCATTTCCTTTCCATGTTAGCATTTTGTGCTAATATTTACCATAGTTACAGCTATTGTTAATTTCTAGGGATATGACTGAAGTCCTAGGGATATGCCTGGTAAACAGTGGACAATTTGTCAACATACCTGGGTCTCCCATCTGTAGACCAAGCGCTGTCCTGAGCAGTTTTCCCATATTTGGCTTAATTGTCATCCCAGCGCTCTGGAAAGTAGGTCTCATCGTCTCATCTTTTTAGAGAAGAATGCTAAGCCTCACAGTTTCTTCCACGTGGCATTCAGTTAGGTTCTTGCTTGTACCCGTTTCAGTACAGTCTGGTCAGCACCAAAGGCAGTGCTCTTTATACTATCTATTTCACACTTCTAGAAAGTTGAGAAAGAAAGCACATCCAGCCCCCAAAATGCAGTTCCCCGTTTTCATGAAAAAAAAAAATTAAGAATTCCTTTATTGTAAAATTTTTGTTTTATTTATTCTTCGTAGAGCTGGGGTGTAGGCCAGAGGTGTGGGGGTTGAAAAGATTCACCAGAGATAGGTTGGGAGCAGAACAGGCAGAGCTGCCGAAATACATGGCTAAGGGGAGCAGTGGGCAAAACAGGAGGGCCTCCCTTGTGGCGCAATGGACTAAATCTCAGCACTATGAGGCTATCTATAGTCACTGCAGCTTGAGTTTGGTTCCTGGCCGGCTGCTGACCCACATGGCACAGCAGACCTCTCCTGTCTTGCCCACTGCTCCCCTCAGCATTGTACTTTGTCAGTCTGACTGTTCTGCCCCCCACTCTTTGTCTGTTGAATCTTCTCACACCCCCACACCTCTGGCCTGCATCCCAGCTCTTATATGCATTAATAAATAAATCTTTAAAAAAAAAACAAAACAGAACAGGAGAGGTCTGATGTGCCATGTGGGCCACCTCACTCCCTGACTAGAAATCAAACTCAGGTCCTCGCTGTGGGCTGTCCTGGGTCTTGAGCACTAAGACTCAACCCCTAGGCCACCAGGGAGGCCCTGTCATGAAAAGTTTTTTAGCAGAATGCTCTCTATCAAATAGAAACTCTGACCATTCATATCTCCTGACAGCTTGTTTTGCCATCCTCATGTTAAGATGGATTTTTGCTTTTGTTGAAACCCTTTAGATCAGAACTGGTATTAGCAAAATTGTTTATCAGTGCTTTTTAACTATTTTTGTGACATGGACCATTTTGAGATTTTTGACAAAGGTAATATATAAATTCTCTGCCTAGAAAATTTTGCATATCATTTCAGAGGATTCGTGGATTTCCTGAAGCCTGTCCTTAGACCCATATATCATTTGTGAACTAGATTAAAAGCTTCTTATTGTACAAATTCAGTATGATATCTGGATGTCTTGCCTGGCTGGGTCTTTTTGGGTGTAAGGTTCTTTGGTTTTGTTTTTTATTTATTTATTTATTTTTAAAGCAGATGTGGATCTATAGAGATTGAGCAATAGTAGAGTTCCCATATGTCCCCCCCCCCCAACAATTTCCCTCATTGGCATTTTGTTTTTGTGTGGTCCATTTATTATAACTTATTAACCCATATGGATACATTTTTATTTTTTTAAAGATTTATTTATGCATACAGAACTGGGGTACAGAGGCCAGAGGTGCAGGGGTGGTGAGAGGATTCACCAGAGACAGAGTGGGGTACAGAACAGGCAGATTGACAAAGTACACTGCTGAGGGGAGCAGCGGGCTGGTCAGGAGAGGTCTGCCACGCCATGTGGTCACCTCCAGGGCAGGCGGTATTCACACTCATGCTGAAGTGGCTTTAGCTTCTTAGTGCAGTGCTTTAACCCACTGCACCACCAGGGAGGGCCTTGATACATTATTATTAACTGAAGCCCATAGTTTTTCATGCTTTATGTTGTGTGTGACACACACACATTTACACACACACACACACACACACACCACCGGGATACCTCTGAACCATTACACACTTTCTTGTGTACTTTGTTCCATGCTTTGTACACTCTCCTTACCTCTCCCCAACTGAATGTCTGATTTGATTTATAGTTTGCCTGATATTTTTGCCTTTTTTTCTTGATTCCTTATATGTTCCCTATGTTCTATACGTGAAACCACCCAATATTTTTCTATTTCCTTCTGACGTATTTCAATGAGCATGATCCCTTCCAGCTCCATCCATGTTGCTGCAAATGGCATGAGTTTATCTTTTTTGATTGGTAATAATAATATTCCATTGTATACATATACCACATCTTGATCCAGCCATCTGTTTTGAGGCATTAGGTTGTTTTGAGGCATTTAGCTATTTTTTTTAAAGATTTTTTTATTTATGCATACAAAAATTGGAGTGTAGGCCAGGCATGCAGGGGTGAGAGGATTTATTAGAGAGAGCAGAAAAGGGGTACCTACAACACACTGCTAAGGGCAACAGTGGGTGAGGCAGGAGCAGTCTGCTCCACCATGTGGGTTAGCTCCCTGGGAGGAGATCAAACACTGATCCTCTCTGTGGGCTGTTGAGGTGGTGGTGCTGAGAATCCCTGCGCCAACAGGGAGACCTTTCTTAGCTATTGTAAATAGTGGCGCATCTTTTGGGTATCAGTAACAGTAGAGCAAACAATCCAAAAGTTGCTTCTATTTCTTCTTGGTTTATGTAAGACTTGTAATAATGTGTGTATGTGTGTGTTTGTGTTTGTGTGTGTGTGTGTGTGTGTGTATCCTTTCAGGGCACAGGCTGGTGAGCTATGGGTCAAGAATGAGAAGGTCATGTGTGGTTATATCAGTGAAGATACCAGGGTAAGATCTATGAAATGCTTTTGTTTTTTTTTTTGTTTGTTTGTTTTATTCTCCCATACCATTATGATTAAGCCCTGAAATTAAAATTGAAAAAAAAAAAAAACAGAAATAAGCAAAACCTGTATATCTTAAGATTGCTACTGTCCTCCCGTTAATAATATTTTCAGGAACCCTACAATTCTAATCTTCCACCGTTGGATCATTCCAGTTTGGGGTTGATTTTCATTTTCTGCTTGAGTTTAATCAGAAGATGCAGAGATAGAGTGTAGCTTATAGGCTTTTAAGCCCACTAATATATAACAAAAGTGAAGATTGTGTCAGTACTCATGAAGAGAAATCACTGCAAAGGTATCTCCTCCTTCCTGACTCTATTCTGGTTGGAAAAATCCACACTGAGCCACTGTGAACATCACCTGTGCTTATGAAGCCACCTGTCTGCTCTTTCTTGTTCCCATCTCTCTGCCTCCTCCCTTAACAGCAGTGTTTCTCAACTAGAGGTGACTTTTTGCCTCTCCAGGGAACTTTGGCAATGTCTGGAGACACTTTTGGTTGTCACAGCTGGGTTGTGTGGAGGATGCTGCTAAACATGTTGCAGTTTTTAGCACAGGCCTCTAGAGCAAAGAATTATCTGGCCCCAGATGCCAGTAATGTCGTGGGAGCTGTTGTGTGTATATTGTGGGATGTTTAGCATCTCTGGCTTCTCCTCACTAGATGCCAATAGCAGCCTCCACCCACAACCTTCCAAGTCATTACAGCTCAAAATACCCACAGATATTACCGCATGTTCCTAAGTGAGATTCATTTCTCTTAAAGGTAGACACTATTTAAATTTTATCTTTGTAGTATCCTGTTGTTTGCATTATGTTAATACATATATATTTATATAATTTCTTATTCTAAATAGTATTTTTTTTTGCATTTTGTTAAAGTAGAATAAAATTGTATGTAGCCTTTTTTAGCTGATTTTTTTTGTAACCAATGATACATTTTTTATTTTATTTTTTTAAAGATTTATTTACTTATGTATACAAGAACTGGGGTATAGGCCAGAGGTGTTGAGGGTGAGAAGATTCACCAGAGAGATTGGGGAGCAGAACGGGCAAGTCTACTGAAATACTCTGCTTGACAGGGCCAGCTGGCAGGACAGGAGAGGTCTCCTGTACCATAGATCACTTAGTCCCTAGCTGGGGATTGAATTCATGCTGCAGTGGCTGGCAATAGCTTAATAGTGTTGAGACATTACCCCCAGCACCTCCAGGGAGGCCCTCATTGAAGGACTTTAAATGAAGGATTGATACCAGTGTTTCTTTGTTTTTTAAAAAAATAATATAATAGTTTATTTTTCCATCATTTTGTGTGTTTTTCCATCTCAGTTGTAATCCCTGTGGGCTTCCCATAACCAAATCACCGTGTGCCATCACCATAGTCCAGTGCATTTCCCTCCCCCAACTGTTTTTGATCCCATTCCCCACTCCACCCCCATAAAATGTCTCTGGTATATAGCTGTTCATTATTATTATTTTCTTGCCTGGTCCATTATACTCCTGCTATGAGTGAAACCATCTGGATACCAGTGTTTTTATAAAAGCTTATTCAGTTGGATTTTATTGAATCAAAAGCATAAAGTAATAGTGACAAATTGATGTTTGTGATGCCACAAAAGGAGATCAACTTTTTTATCTCCCGTAGAAGTCCACCTGTAGGCAATTGATGGCTGCTGTGATGGTGTCACAATTATTGATGACCTAATGCTCTTTCTGGCCTCTGTTCTGTGTTCTGCCATCCTCAAAATTGGGCTTCTGTGATGCAGCTGGAGCTGCTGTAACTACATCCAGATTCTAGGCAGAGATGGGAGAAATACAAGAAAGACGAGGGGTGTCCCTCTAGCCACTTCCCTTCCTCTAAGCACACAGCACTTCCGTTACATCTTCCTAGCCAGAATTAAGTCACATATAGCTGTTAAAGAGGTTGAGGGGCCCCTTGCCTCCAGATAGAGCCAGTTTCTCATTATTTGGGATAAATGAGTCTTGAGTAGGCATCCATGGCACCTGCTGAGCTCCCCTGGCTCTGATGTAGATAGTTGTTTGTCAGGGCAAGAGTAGAAGCAGAGACACAAGTTAGGACGTTAGAAGACGGTGACGTACACCAGGGGGGAGACATAGCAATGAAAAAATGTGGGAGGCAAATTTGAGATATATTTCAGAGTAGAATTGACAGAATTGCTGATAACTTTGATGTGAGGAATGAAGGAAAGAGAAGCATTGGATAGTTGAGTGGATAGATGGTAGAAGTATGTATGAGCTAGGGAAGATTAGGGAGGGATAGGTTGAGGAAATGAAAAAACTTGATTTGTGAGATGCCTATTGGCCATGTGAATGGAGAAATCGGGGAGGCTGTTGAGTCTGGAACTCATTTTGGCACCTTGCCCATGTGCCCCACCTTCCGCCTTGTCCTTGTCTTGAGAACCATTCACTGTTCCTCAAAAATGCCACAGTCTTTCCTCACTGTCTTTGCATTCTGCTCTTCCTGGAGTGCTTAGGCCCTGCCTTCCCCCTGTCCCAGGTGACTCATCCATCCCCCAGCACACATCTCAGGCTCCTGCTTCCTGAAAACCTTCCCGGGTGGAAGTGGCCCACATAGCACCCTGATCTGTGCGTAAGTCAGCACTTAGCCCACTGTGGATGCCTTGGTGGATCATTTTGCTTCAGTGTCTTGCCACCTGGCCATAAGCACTGTGAGAGCTGTAAGAACAAGGGCCGTCTTTTACCTTCACATCCCAGAGTTGTCTGGCATGACTCCTGCATTTAGTATTTTCTTAAATGTTTGTCAACAGAAATTTTAGACTTTCTCCTCCAACTTAAGAATTCATAATCTGATTAATTAGCAGCATGAGACTTTAGTGTAAGAAAAAAATCAGCGTTACAAAGTTTAATTACATAACAAGACCTCTTTAGATAAACTTTATTACCTGTTTCATTACTTAGTTTTCCAGCCCACAAATATTAGATTTAAGAAATTGGAAGTATAGAAAGGGAGTATAGATGACTACAGTTTATTTTTACCTAGAAAAATTAAGGTAGATGTAATTGTTGCGTGAAGGAATGGATAGATGGTGGCGGTCAATAACAAAGCAAATGTCATGTTTAGGATCTAGGTATAAGGTATGTGGGTGTTGCTGTATAATTTTTTTCAACATTGTGTATATTTGAAAGTTTTTAAAATGAAATAATTCAAAAGTACCCCAAATTCTAAGTTAAGAATAGAAACATTTTCAGGCTAATAGAGATAGATGACTGTATAAATACTAAAATACAGAAAACATTTCTAACTAGAATGTAAGCTAGCTTTCTAGTTAAATAGCATTAATAAGAACCTTTCAAAGTACCTTTGAAAGACATTCAAAAATAAGAAATGATTGATTTGCTTAAGAAAAAAAAGGAACACAAAATAGCTCATTTAAAAGTGAGCAAATGGCTTTAATAGACATTTTTCCGAAAAAGTATACACATAGAAGATATACAATTGGTCAATAAATGCAAGAATAGATACTTAGCACTATTTGTCACTAGGGAAATGTAAATCAAGACCATGATAAGGTAACACCTCAGACTCACTAATATGACTATAGTCAAATTTAAATTTTTATAAAGAAAAATAACAAGTGTTATTTTTGGATGTGGAAAAAGTGGAACCCTCTTAAATCCCTGGTGGGAATGTAAAATATACAGCCATTGTGGGGCATTTTGGCAGCTCCTCAAAAAATTAAACATTGAATTACCATAGGACCTAGCAATCCCATTCTTAGGTGTATACCAGAGAGAATTGAAAATATTTATGTTCACACTGAAACTTATGTGACATACACATCTCCGTGGCCGTATTGTACATAATAGCCAAAAAGATGATACTACCCAAAATGTTCATCAGCAGATCAAAGTAAAGCCACACAAGGAATGTCACTTAATTAAAAAAGTAATGATTATTGCAACAACAAGCATGAAGGAAACCAGTTATAAAAGAAGTGTTCACAGTAGACAGATCCCATAGAGACAGAAAAGGACATTAGTGGTTGCCAGGGGAGCGGTTAGAAGGGAGTTACTGCTAGTGGGTATGTGGTTTCTTTTTGGAGTGGAAATATTTTGGAATTAGATAATGGTGATGGCTGCATAACATTGTGAATATGCTAAAAGTCCTTGAATTGAAGATGCTAAAATAGCAAGTTTTGTTGTATGAATTTTATCTTTAAAATTTTTAAATAAAAAAAAATGGAAGGGACCAGCAGGAGGATAATTTAAATATAACAGTAACTGAAACTTTTATAGTTTCAGAGTAGAGAACATTTAGAGAAACTGTCAAACCCATAGCTAAAAATAATGCTTTATATATTTATGTACCTATTTTATAAATATGGAGTTATGCAGATCTAGAAATATATATTTTAATCAACTTATGAAAATGTAGTTTTCATACAATAAAACATTCATTTTAAATGTGTATTTTGTTGAATTTTGACTAATGTATATAATACCACCACTGTAGTCAAATAGAGAACATTTACATTGCTTAAGAATCCCTCTTTGCAGCCAAAGGTCTGCTTCTATCTCTAGAATAATTTTGCTGAAAGGTTTAGCTTTTTAAAAGTTAAGCTTTTTTTGGGTAATAGGCACGGTGTGATAACATACATTGGACATACACTGTACTAAAACATTTACTATCAAACAGTGTTACCTCAATTTAAAAGTGTTAGCTTTAAAAATTACAAGAATATTGCTTGTTTATTTTAAAAAAATGTAGACCATATTCCTGTTCAATTTTTTGAAATGTTTCCCAATTTAGAGATAGGCAAAAAGAAGCAAATTCTCTCATAGTGCTAATCACCAGGATGATCACAGTTAACATATTGAGAGAGATATTTCTTTCAAGTCTTTGCATTTCTGTGTGTTTGAGAGTTAGAGAGAATTTATTGAGTGCTATTATGCCCAGAGACTTCTGTCTTTAAGGAATGTGGTCGCCAATAAACCAGTGGTGTGTCAGAGATTTATATTTTGCTTGCCATCATTGAGGCAAAAGGAAGGATTGGGAAAGGGACTTTGTGGTAAAGCACACCACCCAGAAATCCACTACGACTTCTCCTGATGGCATTTTGGGTACAGAAGGTGCACAATATGCATCTCGGTTTTCTAGGCGGGCGACTCATCAACTGGCACATCCTAGGCCAGTATTTTGCATGTTTTTATCCTCTACTAGAAGCTCCTCAATGCCCAGCATGCCAGGGATGAAGCTTGCTTTTTGAAATCCCTTGTTACAATGAGAAAAATTCTTCCATCAATGCTGTGTGTGTAGAGGGGGGCTTGGAGGTAAGAGAACTGAAATATACCATGACTATCATTTAAAAATGTGCAGTTCAATAATGTTCAGTCTCTCTACATTGTTGTCAGAAGGCCCATAGGAAACAAAAAAAAGGCCCACACAACTTTTATATCTTAAAATCACAAAGTGCATACACCTTTGCTTTTATTTTAATATATAATTATTTTAATTCAATTAAGGTAAGCAGCTTATGGTAACAGGAAACAATACAACAGTTTCCATGTTGCTAAATCAATTTCTAAGAGTGTGATAGGTGGGCCCTCTCTAGTGGCACAAGGGCTTGAGTCTTAGCACTACGAAGCTATCTGCAGCCATTGCAACATGAGTTCAGTCCCCAGCCAGGGAGCTGACCCACATGGTGCAGCAGACTTTTTCAGTGAATCTGTTTGTTCTGTTCCCTGCTCTGTTTCTGGCAAATCCTCTGACCTCCCCGCACCTCTGGCCTACACCCCAGCTCTTGTATGCATACATTTTAAAATATATATTTAAAAAACAATAAGAGTGATAGAATTTTTTACTTTCATAGCCTCCTGCAGCTCAGTACTTGAACATGAGGATTTCACATATCTGTCGAACAGTTTCTATTTACTGCGCCATTGTTTTTAATGGTTATATTTTTATTTATTTCAGGTGGTGTTCCGTTCTACATCGGCTATGGTTTACATATTTATTCAGATGAGCTGTGAAATGTGGGATTTTGATATTTATGGTACTGTTCGATAGTGTTTGATAGTGCTGGTTATAACTCCACTGGAAAGAATTTTCTGGTTTTCCCTTGCATTGGTGTCATTTTACGCTAAGCTCTTGACATTTTGTAAAAATATGTCCTGATATCTTTGCAAATCCTCAAGTGCTGAAATCAATATTAATATGTATGTATAATGAATTCCATGAAATGCTGTATTCATGGAAAAGCTGACCTCTTGATCTTTAATTATTCTATGAGTTCACATAGGATGGAAAGTCAGAGGAGTCTAAGGTAGAAACCAATACTTTTTGGGATACCGTTCATTTCTCTTCCTGTCCACTCCTGGAAATCTCCATGTTTGTCTCATTTATTAGAATTATTATATTATGAGGCGAAAACAGTGAAGCTGCTGTGAGGTGTGGATACTGTGTCCAACAACCAGCCTCATGGTATGCAATTCAAATTGGTGTTTAGCAAATTGCAAATTAATTTTTGCTGGGGGTGATCAGTCACTCAAGAATAGCAGGAACTGCAAATGATTATTCAGTGAATGCCCAGGGTCTCCAACATCATCTAGCAAAGTTTAAGCATCACCCTAAAATAATCATGTTTAGAGGTTAGGTGGTTCTCTCATTCTGAGGATAGAACCTGGTTTTTATCACTCAAACATTTTCAAGCTTGAATTTTGCTTTGGAGTCATGCCTGTTATTCTGAGTGAGGCTTTGTCTCCCTGTTCTGAGATATAGCAATATAGCAAGACCCACTTTCTTTTTCACTGGTCTATTCATTTAAGAGAAGAAATTGTAAGCAAGAAATAAAGATCATTCTCATTTTCTTACTGTTTCTTTTCAGGAGATCTATATTTTGAGAAAGCTGTGAATGGTTTCCTTGCTGATCTTTTTACCAAGTGGAAGGTATGTGTCTTTTTGCACCAAATCTCCTTGATTTTTTTTTAAAGACTTATTTATGCATATAGAGCTGGGATATAGGCCAGAGGTACAGAGGCAGTGAGAGAATTCACCAGAGACAGAATGGGAAGCAGAACAGGCAGATCAACAAAATACACTGCCGAGGGGAGCAGTGGGCGAGACAGGAGAGGTCTGCTGCCATGGCTGGGGATCAACTTCCAGGGCTGGGGATCAAACTCGCACTGAAACAGCTGCGGCTCACTTGTAGTGCTGTGCCCTAACCTGTTGCGCCACCAGGGAGGTCCCCAAATCTTGTTGATTTAAATCTCAACTCATTACTTAATGCAGATTTTAAAAGTATATTTTCTTTTTTTTTTAATACTGTGTTTCTATTGATCTGTCTTTAACTGAGATGTATTAGATAAAGCCTAAATTGATAAAACTCATTTAAATTATCTTAATCACCAGAACATGATAAAGGCCGTTTATGAAAAACCAACAGCTAGTGGTCAAGCTGAGTGATGTAAGACTGAAAACCTTTCCCCTTAAAGCCAGAAACAAGATAAGTACATTGGTGGTTGCCAGAGGAGCCGGTAGAAGGGAGTTACTGCTAGTGGGCATGTGCCAGTGTACTGGCAGTTCTACCCAAAATAGCTGCACAAGAAAAGGAAGTAGAAGATATCCAATATTGTGAAAGAAGTAAGCCTGTCTCTACTCACAGATGATATCCTTTATGTAGAAAATCCTTAAAATCCACAGAAACTAGTAGAGCTAATAAGTGAACTCAGAAAAGTTATAGGATGCAAAATGAACAGAGTTAGTCATGTTTTAGCAACAATGAACAAGTCAGAGGAAATTAAAAACTAAATTAATTTTTCAAAAGGAAATTCTGTTTACAAGAGCATCAGAGAGAGTAAAGTTCTTTGGACTAAGGTGTGCAAAATTTGTATACCATTTATGAACCATTGCTAAAAGAAATTAATGAAGACCTAATTTGATGGAAACCAACCCATGTTTCTGAAAGACTTAGTGTTAAAATGGCAGTACTACCCAAAGCAAATCAGAACAAATATATATAGTCTCTAACCAACTTTCTTTGACCTGTTTTTGTTTTTTTTTCCCCCCAGAAATGTCTCTGAAACTTAAGTGGAATTGTAAGGCATCTTGAATAGCCAAAACAATCTTTTAAGAAATGAACGAAGTTGGAGGACTCTTACTTCCTAATTTTATAACTTACTACAAATTCAAAGCAGTCCAAACATTATGGTACTGGCATAAAGATAGATACACAGAATAAAACTGAGCATGCAAAAGTCAGCCCTTGAGGGAAAAACACAGTCTTTTCAACAAATGGTTGAGACAACTGAATATTCATATACAAAAGAATGAATTTGGACCTTTCACATCATATGCAAAAATTAACTCAAAATGAATCAGATCTAAATAGAAGAGATGTTTGAGGGCACACTATGTAGTAGAAAAGAGTGGAGTTTGGATGAAAGCAGACTGAGTTCTGCTTTGATTAGATTTTTTAATCTTGGAGAAGTATATAATGTCTGTCTGTATTTCTTTATCTGCAAACTAGAGGTAATAGTAATCCCTACCTTTTAAAGTATTTTAAAGTGTCTACATGTAGTAAGGTCTCAGTAGGATCTAAGTCTCTTGGAACCTAAGTTCCATTTTCCTTTTTCAGCAATGTGGCATCAGTGGCCTTCAACTCTAAAGAAATATAAACAGATGCTTGTCGTCAGAGAACTTGTAGACCTGAGAAGGTTGGATCTGTGTATCTGGAACAACAGTAAACCATGTGTTTCAGGGGTTGCTTTAGAATTTGGCTTGGAAGGTTGAGGAAGCTTTGAAAGGTTGTAAAGGAAGACAGAGAGTGCGTTTCAGATAAAGAGCATGAACAAAGGGATGAAAAGGGCATGAGTGTTAAGGATGGTCTTAATTGATGCACAGAGGGCTTCTGGGGGATAAATAATAAGATTGGATTAGAGGGATAGGGTCAAGTCAAGCCAGGCAGTTTGAACTCGATTTAATAAGAAGTGGGACTTGTAAGTGCGCTTGAGTAGAGGGTCAATGTGATGAAAGCTGAAAGCTGGGGAGAAGTTGAGGCAGAGTAGTTTATAGTCAGGGGCAATTTGGTGAAGGGTCAGTCTAGAAGTAAGCCCACCAGCTAGGAGACTTCTTTAGTCCTGCAGCTGAACAAGGGAAAGAAAGCCTATGTGTCTGTCTGTGTATGGGGCATGAAGGAAAATGCACAGTAGGGACTGTTTTAGAGGTGGGCCAAACAGATGGTCACCCAGGGTCACATAATGGCTATTTCAGTCCATAGAAAACCTTCATATAGGTGTTTCCTAGCCCAAGATCCTGTGTGTGTATGTTTGATTAACTATAGGCATAAAATAACGGCATAATCATTAGTTAGTAGGACTTTACTATTAGGATTTCTTTTTCAAAATCAAGTACTTAATTTTAAAGCAAGAGCTTGAACATGAAATAATTTTCTGTAACTACCCTGTATTGATTTAGTCAAATAGGTGAAGTTTGTTTATTCCCCCTAGATTCTACTTTGAGTAACTTGCAGCTCAAATTGTGGGTAGCACAATTGAGTAGGGGAGCTTATGAATTCATTTCTGAGTCTAAATAATGGCAGTTAGTGCTCCTAATTAACATTTATTGAGTAATTTGACATATCGGGTATCATGTGTTTTATCCATACTTTCTTTATTAACTTCATGTCCCTGTTACATTGGCAGGAAAAGTACAACAAAAGTATTGACTTGCCCATAGTCAATAGTCTGTAAAAGCAGTGTGAATATTGTAGTCCTGCTCCATCTCTTTATTCAGAGCTAACCTGAGGACATAACCCCCGTGCTGTCCTATGTCTGTAATCCCCAAGCCATGTCATTACTGCTGTATGTTATCTCTTCCATCACGTATGAGTTGAGAGACCGCAAGAACTCATTGTAAGGCATTTTCCCTATATATCACTTATACCAAAATTAGATAAGTTTGGAGCTGAGTTTGGAGCACTGGGAGTCCAGTAAATTAGTTGGTGACTAATAAAGGTCTACTCTTTCCTCACACTTGGCTTTTGGTACCATGGCTTGTATTTAGGAATTTTTGCCCACTTGAGATATATCCATAGAACACTGTATGAACGTGCACAGAGTTGCATATTTACATGTTAAATGCTGAATTGCATAGTCACTAAGTACAGTGTTGCATATTTACATGGTGCATGCTGAATTGTAAGTACAGTTACGTTAGAAATGGTATTGGTTAGTGTAAGCTGTTGTCTTTAAAGGCCCAAGAGAAACTGAAACTGAGCTTGCTGGCTCACTGGTGCAAGCCAAATTCCATGCCATCTGTAAACATCCTACTTCTAGAACATTGATTCCATGGAAATATTTATTCTCACAAATCCCCTCCTCAGACAAAAGGTAATTCATTGCTTTCATTTTACCTGTGCATCCCAAACAGCCCCCACCCAGTTCTCCATGACAGTGGTAAGATGATAATTATACCCACCACCATGGATTTTGTTCTTATTTATTAAACTACATAGTTCAGAAAAATTAAAAATCACTAAAGAGGCACAAATCATGATCCTCTAATGCTGAGCTCACCTGTTTCATGTCAAGTCAAGAGCTAGGGGATAGCAACCCATACTATACTTGTGATTTACAGTTCTGAAAACACTGTCCACATTCCTGAGACTTTAGGTAACTTGCCCAAGGTCACATAGTGGTAAGTTTCAGATCCGGGACTCAGTCCAGGTCTTCGGACTCTCAGCCATGCTCTGTCCACTGTTGTGTAACCTACAATTACATGGCATCCAATAATGTGTACCACTGCTAAACCTAGGATTTATATATTCATGTAGGCTGCTTCAAAGTGATGAAAATAAAATAAAACTGAGTCCTCTTCTCTATTCATGTCTAGGAGAAGAACTGTAGTCATGAAGTGACAGTGGTCCTATTTTCTAGAACTTTCTATGATGCAAAATCTCTTGGTAAGTCTCCTACAGTTATTTTTTGATGAGCTCCTCCCATTCCCACCCCATCCCAAACCGTGTCATTTTTTTCCTTTGCATTACTTTATCTTTCTCACTTGCTCTGTTATGATGACGGAGCAAAAAAGAAAATAGCAGTCCTTTAGTGGAGAAGTCTGTGGACTATGATTCATCTTAAAACCAACTTAGTTTTTTAGATATATAATTATCCTTTCCTTTTTCTGATGCAAATCTGCAACCCAAAATTGTAGTGGAGAAACTGAATTTCTCTTTTAAATCTGATCTACATGCTTCATTTTCTCTTGTTCAGATGAATTTCCTGAAATCAGCCGAACTTCAATTCGTCAGGATCATAAAGGTCGATTCTATGAAGACTTTTATAAGTATGTTTGGATGCTTCACTATGTCTGTCTGTCTCTCTGCCTTCCTTCTTCTTTGTTGTTGTTTTCTTCCCTAAAAAAGGATGACTTTTTTATTTTGGATTTACTGAATAGTGAATAAAGTTTATAGAGAATTTAAAAAGAGAGTAAGAGTTCCCATATGCCCTTCACCTAATTTTTTAAAGATTTATTTATTCATACAGAACTGGAGTACAGGCCAGAGATGTGGAGAGGATTCACCAGGGACAGAGTGGGGAGCAGAACAGGCAGATCGATGAAGTACACTGCTGAGGGGAGCAGCAGGCAGGTCAGGAGAGGTCTGCCATGCCATGTGGATTTCCTCCGGGGCAGGCGGGGATTGAACTCATGAGGAAGTGGCTTACGCTTCTTAGTGCAGTGCTTTAACCCGCTGCGCCACCAGGGAGGGCCGCCCTTCACCTAATTTTTCTGTTAACATTTTCAAACATTTCTCATAGTCAAAACTGAAATTAGCACTGATATGTTACTGTTAGTTAAATGTCAGGCTTTGTTTTCACATTTTATCAGTTTTTATACATAGTTTTTTTTTTCTGTTTCAGAATAGTTCAGTGTACCACACTGCATTTAGACTTTCTAAAGATTTATTTTTATTTATCTATACATACAAGAACTGGGGTGTAGGCCAGAAGTGTGGAGCAGGGGCAGGAATGAGATTCACCAAAGACAGAGTGGGGAAAAGAACAGGTAGAGCTACTGAAATACACTGCTGAGGGAGCAGTGGGTGAGACAGGTGAGGTCTGCTGCGCCATGTGGGTCAGCTCCATGACCAGGGATTGAACTTATGTCACAGAGTTTGGTGATAGCTTAATATTGCTGAGACTAACCCCTGAGCCACCACTTTCTAAACCTTTTACTTTTATATATATATATATATTTTTAAATTTATTTATTTATGCATTCAAGAAGGTGAGGTACAGGCCAGAGGTGTGGGGGGGTGGGGGTGAGAGGATTCACCAGTGACAGAGTAAGGAACAGAACAAGCAGACTGACTGAAATACACTGCCAAGAAGAGCAGCAGGTGAGACGGAGAGGTCTGCCTCACCATGTGGGTCACCTTTGTGGCGGGGGATCGAACTCATACTGCAGTGGCTGGTGATAGCTTTAGTGCTGCTCTTTAACTCCTTGCACCACCAAGAAGGCCCCTAAACTTTTGATTGTGACAGATTTCAAGCTCACAGAAAAGCATAAATAGTTAATGAACCCATATTCCCAACAACTTGATTTAGCAGTTATTTTACCATCTTTGCTTCATCTGTTTTTTGACTAAATTTTATTTTACAATAAACATAGGTATTATGACATTTTGTTTCTATGTGTTTCTAAAGAATAGGTCGTTTTTATATATAATCATAAGGTTATCACATTTAACAAAATTAGTAGTTGTATAATGTCCAGTATCTAGTACATCCTCACTAAAATCTGTCTCTAAAATGAATTCTTACCTTTGGTCTCAAATCTAAATCTTATGCTGAAACTAAAGCAATTTCCCTTTTCCTTTACTTTTGATTTAAAGAATTTGGGTCAGTAGTCCTGTAGAACAGTTCTCTAACTGGAGTGTGCATGTGAACCATGCCCTGGGGTCCTGCGGCCATGCTGGTTCTAAAGAGTTCAGGGGCTGGGGATGGGCCTAAGATTCTGCTTGTTTAGCTAGTGCCTTATTTACTCATTTTGCTGGTCTTTCAGTAGGAAGGCAATAGAAGACTGCTTCTGGATTTGTGTGATTGCATCCCATGGTGGTTTTTATTTATTTTCTGCAAAACAGAGATAACAACTGGACAATTTTGCTGCATCCTAGGAAAGCTGTGTGGTATCTAGAAACATTTTTTTTAAAGATTTATTTATGTATTAAAAACTGGGGTACAGGCAGAGGTGCAGAGGGCGAGAGGATTCACCAGAGACAGAGTGGGGAGCAGAACAGACGGACTGACTGAAATACACTGCTGAGGGGGAGAGGTCTGCTGTGTCGTGTGGGCCTCCTCCCTGACCAGGTGCTGCACTTTAACCTGCTTCCCACCAGGGAGGGCCCTCTAGAGACATTTTTTTTATTGTTAAAATGGCAGAGGTAGGTGGATGGGAAAAGGGAGGTTTGTAACTGCCGTCTAGTGGATAGAAACCTGACACATTACTAAACAGCCTGCGACACCAGGACAGCTGGCACCCCTTACCCCCAGCACAGTCACTTGGCCCAAAATGTCAGTGGGGCCAGGTCTCCAGAGACATGGCTAGATTTCCACTGAACCTTTTTAATAAGACCTCCTCGCTGATGCCCTGGACTGCACATCAAATCCCCACAGGGTACACATCAGTCTGGCTGTCCCAACAGTAACCACTGACTAAGGAGACAGTTTGTGAGACAATGGAAGCATACCAGGTGCTACCAGAGTGGGCTGCTTGAATGCCTGGAACTGCAGGACCTTGACTTTACATTCTCAGGAGCATGGAGAAATGTAACACACAGTTATTGCTACTTCAGGTGGAGGCTAGACTAGACAGACATCAGAGCAGACTTTAAAAACCGTTTGCTTTTCAGAAGGCATTTTATTCCTGTCTACTAGTACAAAAGCATTTCTGTTTAAGTCAAAACCAACCCATTAGAAAATAGACACATTTCACCACCTCTGGCTTCACCTGTTATCACCCTGAGGGATTGCTGTAATCATTACCCTATCACTAGCTCAGTCTGGTTCCTTAGATTGCTTCTTTCTAGGAACTCCTTGATGTTTCTCCTCCGACCTCAGACTTGGAAATACAGTGTGTCTCTGTTTTACAGTGACAGTTTACTATGTAGGTTTTGTTTTGAGTGACCACTCTGTTCCCCACCACTGTACACTGTCACCTGGAGTCATAAGCATGTTTCTTTGTAGTTAGTTCCTTGATGAGTATCAAGCTAGCACCAAGTGCCAACTTTTTTTCCTTTTTCACTTTTGTAACATCATTCCTAAAGAATAAAAGATGATCAATAAATTTTTTTTTAAGATTTATTTATTTGTGCGTACAGAACTGGGGTACAGGCCAGAGGCTCAGGGGTGGTGAGAGGCTTCACCAGAGACAGAGTGGGGAACAGAACAGACAGATCACAGAAGTACACTGCTGAGGGGAGCAGCGGGCGGGTCAGGAGAGGTCTGCCACACCATGTGGTCACCTCTGGGGCAGGCGGGAATCGAACTCATGCGGAAGTGGCTTTAGATTCTCAGTGTTGTGCTTTAACCTGCTGCGCCACCAGGGAGGGCCCTGATCAGTAAATCTTTTATTCTTTTATAACTATAATTATTTTCTTTTTTTTTCCTTCAGAAAAGATAAGCTCTAAAGAGTGACCAAGGTTGTAGTTTGGAGGAAAAGTTTCTCATTGAATCTTAATATCCATTTATTTTTCTAAAGAGAGTAGATGTTTTCTCATGGTTATTGATCTTTTTATTTTTGGTGATTTGTATATTCATCTTATTGCCCATTTTTTCATCTTCTGTGTTTTTTGTTTTACCCTTGGCCTGACTTTGTAATCTAAGGAGAACTGTGGTTTTATTTATTATTTATCATTATTACTTTTTATATCCTTTTAAAACTGAGGTATGTTTCTTTGGATCATTCTCTGCTTTTTTTTTTTTAATTATAATTGTTTATTTTTACATTATTTTGTGTCTTTTTTCCATCTCAGTTGTAATCCCTCTTTCTCTGCTTTAACTCATTTTAAAAAATGGGATCATTTTTTGTTTGTTTTGTTATTAATAATATAAAATTTTCTTAGGTAGACTAATATTGTTAACCAGCTGTGTTCTTTTTCTTTAGTAATGTGTTAGCTATTGGGGGGACTTAGACATGGGATTTGTTGATTAATGGAAATGTGTATTTTTCTTTTTATATTTAATTTTTTGGAATGCATGAGCATGACTCTAAAATTTATAGTTACAGAGGTAGAGAGTAAATGTATTCCTACTTACCGCTTTTCAGTAACCTTGTTTTCTGACCAAGATATATTGATCAGATACATAGAATAGAACATACAGAGGGTAGAGCCCTGCACTGTGAAATTAACTGTAGCCGCTTCAGCACAAGTTCGATCCCCATCAGGGGTGACACACAGGGTGCAGCAGACCTCTCCTTTCTTACCCGCTGCTCCCCTCAGCAGTGTATATCAGTAGATCTGCCTGTTCTGCTCCCCACGCTGTCTCTGGTGAACCCTCTCACTGCCCCTACACCTGTGGCCTGTAGCTTAGTTCTGTATACATAAATAAATAAATCTTTTTTAAAAAAACATATACATGCTTTTTTTTTTTTTATGTAGGCATACAAGAACTGGGGTGTAGACCAGGGGAGTGTGGGAGGGGGGTGAGAGGATTCACCAGAGACGGAATGGGGAGCAGAACAGGCAGATCTACCGAAATACACTACTGAGGGGAGCAGCAGGTGAGACAGGAGAGGTCTGCTGCACCCTGTGTGTCACCCCGTTGGCCGGGGATTGAACTCATGTGGTGGTGTGGCTGGCAGTAACTTGATAGTGCTGAGACTTTAACCCCCATGCCAATAGGGAGGCCCATGCATGTTGTCTTTTAGAACATTTCGTATAGAATACCTAATTGTAATTCAGTGTGTGAAAGGGTCTCTATGCTTGTGCAGCACTGATCATTAATACAATCTCAAGACAATTTTAAAAGTTTTTAATTTCAATCATGCGACTTCTGATGGGATTACATTTTCTGTTAGTGTTTGTTGAAATGCATTGATTTTATTATTTATTATATGACAAATTCCTTTAACTCTGGGAACCCCACCTTCTCCTTTCCCTCAAGTCCTGTAGAGGACCTAATATCCTGTATCTAACAGCTGTTCAATACCTGTGCTATGATAATACTCCTTTCAGGGTGGTGGTACAGAATGAGAGGCGAGAAGAGTGGACTTCACTCCTTGTGACCATTAAAAAACTCTTCATCCAGTACCCAGTGTTGGTGCGACTGGAACAGGCAGGTACTGCATCCATGTGATAGAAGGTGTGGCTGGGAAAGGGTGGAGGCTGGAGCTGAACAAGTTCATGCTTATTCCCTTCTAGTGCTGTGCGTAGCTTGTTTTGGGTGAGGTTTCTATTTCTAAGTGAGTCCAATAGTCCATAACATATGCAGTAAATCCAGTAGTGTTCGTCACAGAATGTAGGAAGCCCCATAGAACCAGACACCTACTTTTTAAGCTTTCATCTTTCATGAGATATTTTTCCTTTTCTTGTTTTTGCTTCCAGAGGGCTTTCCTCAAGGAGACAATTCTACCTCAGCACAGGGAAACTATCTAGAGGCCATCAATCTGTCATTCAATGGTGAGTAAGGACAGTAGCCAGGTGTCTTAACCACGTGGCTTTGAACTTCTCTTTACTAATGCCCAAAGACCCAGACCATATAATGATGCCTCCCAAATTAGTTAAAAACAGTAAATTCTAATTCAGTGGTTGTAATGGCTAACATTTAGACTTTAGGTCTCCTGTTGGGTAATTAACTTGCTATTTTCATCTGCTTGTTACGTTACCTCAGATCAAAGCCCCCCAAGGAGGCACTCTTCCTGGGGCTCTGTGTTTTTACTAAAAACTGTAAATTCTGGCCCTCCCTGGTGGTGCAGCGGGTTAAAGCACAGCACAAAGAAGCTTAAGACACTTCTGCATGAGTTCGATTCCCGCCTGCCCCGGAGGTGACCACATGGCGTGGCAGACCTCTCCTGACTCCCTACTGCTCCCCTCAGCAGTGTACTTCGTCGATCTGCCTGTTCTGCTCCCCAATCTGTCTCTGTTGAATCCTCTCACCCTCTGCTCTCACCCTCTGCATCTCTGGCCTGTACCCGAGTTCTGTACAAATAAAAAAATAAATCTTTAAAAAAAAAAAAGTATTCTTACTATTTTCCATTCCATTCTTCAATTGCTTGTAAGTTTTTTTTTTTAATTATTACTAAAGGAACCCATACTAGAATTCAAGTAATAAAGAGGTATAGCAAGTAAAAATGAAATCCCCCACACCTGTCACTGTCAGTCCCCTTCTAAGAGATTATCATTGTTAACAGCCTCATGCGATTTCTTCCAAATGCTTTTCTCTGGATTTATATATTGGTTAAGATAATTTGTTTGCACACAGCAGAAACCCTACTAAATTGGCTTAAACAAAAAGAGAAACGTGCTCTGAGGATACAGGAGCTTGGGCAGCAGCCAGGAAAAGCTTTAGGAAAGTGGGGATTATGAACCAGAGCAAAAGAAATTCCTAGAGCAGCACAAAGCTTCGAATTCTGCTCACAGCTCTCTGCTGTCTGTTCAGCATTCCACGTTCCTGCCAGTGAGTCTGATCGGCCCAGCTCTGGTTAGGCCTCCATCTGGCACTGGTCATTGGTGAAAGTGATGATGTGTGATCACTTCATGTTGAGGATTCTAGAACTTTTTTTTTTAACTAGTAAATACATTTGTCATATTTGAATATCATTGATTTTCCAAAGTAAGAATTGCACAGGCCAAAAATAAAAAGCCAACTTGCCAATTTTACAGAGTCATAGTAAGATCTGCTTTCTTTAAAGTTGTCTTACATTAAATGTGATTTTTTTTTTAAAAAATTAATTAATCAAAAAAAAACAAGGCAAAAGCCAAAAAAGGGGAAGGGTAGGAGATTTACCAGAGACAGACCAGGGAGCAGAACAGGCAGATCAACGAAGTACACCGCTGAGGGGAGCAGCAGGTGGGCCAAGAGAGATCTGCCGTGCCATGTGGTCACTTCCCAGGCAGGCAGGGATCGAACTCATGCGGAAGTGGCTTTAGCGTCTTAGTGCTGTGCTTTAACCCGCTGCGCCATCAGGGAGGGCCACATTAAATGTGATTTTTAAAAAAGATTTATTTATGCATACAGAACTGGAATATAGGTCAGAGGTGCAGAGGCAGTGAGAGGCTTCACCAGAGACAGAGTGGGGAGCAGAACAGGCAGACTGATGAAGTACACTGCTGAGGGGAGCAGTGGGCAGGTCAGGAGGGGTCTGATGCTCCATGTGGATTACCCCTGGGGCCAGGGATCAAACTCACACTGAAGCAGCTGTGGCTAGCTTGCAGTGCTGCACTTTAACCTGATGTGCCATCAGGCAAGGCCCAACATGTGATTTTTATGTTCCAGTACAGGCTCATTTCTGGATGGTTTAAATTAACAACATGAAATTTGTGCAGGTAAGGCTGTAGGATGCAGATACTAGATCTCAATCAGGAAGACTAACAAGCAACAGTGACATAGTCCAATATTCAGGCAGTTCTTAATGTAGAAGAGGAAAGACAGACAGGTGCACCATTATCTAGGAGTCAGGTCAGAATGTGTCAATTACTATAATAGGAAAATGGGCAAAATGCTCCAAGAGCACAGAAATGCTTGCCAGTGGTGCTTTCAGAAAACTGTGATGTCTTGTTTGGCTTTGTTTCAAGTGTTCGACAAGCACTACATCAACCGCAACTTTGATCGAACCGGACAGATGTCAGTGGTGATCACGCCCGGAGTGGGCGTGTTTGAGGTCGACCGCCTGCTTATGATCTTGACCAAGCAGCGGATGATAGACAATGGTAATGCTCCCGCAGTCTTGCTCCATGAGTGTGGCCTGACTGTGCCTCTCCTGCTCCTGTATCACTGAGCTTGCCCTGGCTTTGAGCGTGTGAGGAGCCACACGGTGCTCTGTCCCAGAAAGCCAGGCACATGATAATGTTTGGTGACACCAACAGTGCCACGGTCCGTTGATTTGGGAAATGTTGGATCACACACAGTTAGGCAGATTCACTAATTATGGCTTTTAATTTTAGTGGGTCATGTGTATCCTTAATGGCATGACTGACAATCTGAGTTTTCCAAGGATGTTCGATACTAGAGAACCCCTTTGGTGGGAGTGGCGGGGGGTCAGAGGGTTATTTCAAGGAACCAGTGTGCCATCAGCCCTCCTCGGGAATTTCCCTCAAATCATCTACTGTAGTGTTCTACCCCACACCCCAACTCACACCCCGCTGTCCTCTGCCTTCCTCAGTTTGATTTGTGTTTTAGCAACAATTCAGAGTTGGGAGAGACTGCCACTAAAGCAGCTTTGTTTGGTGATGTGAGTTGTTTGACTTCTCACTGAGATCACAAGGTTCCTTTTTCCTTTTGGGCCTAGAAGCTTCCTAAGAGGCTTGGTTGTCTTTTTGACAAATGATGATCTGCATTGTAGTTAAAGGCGAATTGTCAAATACTGGAGAATGGCAGGTGTGATGGGACTTGGTAAAGAGAAAGATGAAAAGACATCTGTTTACTTCTTTGCTGTGGAGGCAGCACTGAGGAGGCTTTAAATCATATGCGCGTCGGCTTTGCCTCATAGTCTCACCCAGTTAATAACATGGTGAGTAGACGGGAACATTCATCTCTGCCTCCTCCCTGCCTCCCACTTTTCTTGTGTTTTCTTTTTTAGGAATTGGTGTAGACTTGGTGTGCATGGGGGAGCAACCATTACATGCCGTCCCCTTGTTCAAGGTAATTTGATTTGGGATTAGCTTACGAAAGACTAGCTTCCAGGCCAGGTGACTTTGAGGGTTGCTAAAAACAGAGGTTGGAGCAGTTCCGCATTCTGTTTTGCTTTCTGGCTGATCATCGCTGACTCTCTTCTCTGCAGCTGCATAATCGCAGTGCCCCTCGTGACTCTCGTCTGGGTGATGACTACAATATTCCTCACTGGATAAACCACAGGTGGGTGTGATCTTGATTCATAGCAGAATGAATAACTTCCTTGCCATTTTCTCCAGAAATATGTTCTTACTATAAAATCTTCTGTCAAAAAATGGGGAAACCAAAGTTGTAACATTTGCTGCAAACTTCACTGCAAGTTAAAAAAAAAAAAACCCTCTTGGACGACTTATTTCCACTGTTATTCATAAATCCAACTATTCTAGCTCCATGGGCAGTAGCAGACAAACCTACCTGTACCCTGTAGGGTGTGGTGGAGCAGTGTGCCTGGCTTCCAGCCACAAGGTGCCAACAGCTCAGATCCTGCAGTCAGATATGACAGTATGACAAAAATGTCTGCAGACATTGCCATGTGTCTCCTAAGCAGCAGCTCCTTATCCTTGCTCCTCACCCCTACTGAGAATCACTTCTTTAGAATAATGTTTTGTTTTGTTTTTAATTTTTTAAATTTTTATGTAGAACTGTGGTGTAGGCCAGAAATGTGGGGTGTGTTTCTGGTGAGAGGAAAAAGCTGCACAGGCAGATCAACTGAAATACACTGCTGAGGGGAGCAACAGACCTTTCCTGTCTTGCCCACTGCTCTGCTCCCCACTCTGTTTCTGGCGAATCCTGTCATCCCCCTGCACTTCTGGCTTGTACCCCAGTTCCTGTGTATATAAATCAATTGACTTCTTTTAAAAAATGACTAAGATTTTGTAGTAATTACCAGTGAAGCTAGAATTGGGGAGATCAGTGATACCTGAGACAATAAGCCTTCACAAGAGGGTTGGGCCAAGGTAGGACTTCAGCTACATCTTGAGGTTTAGATTAATAAACTTGTCTATTTTTTTTTTTGCAGTTTCTACACATCCAAAAGCCAGCTCTTTTGTAACAGTTTCACCCCACGAATAAAACTGGCAGGAAAGAAGGTAGGTTTCACCAACCAACAGCTTTTAGGGTCTGTCTCACCCAACGTACTTATTTTGGTCTTGATATAACCCCCATTTCACCAGTGATCATGAATAGCATTTAAGAAATAAATCTTTGACAAAACCAAACCAAAATAAATCCTAGAAATCTGAGTAGCAACTAATGCACCCAGAGAAAGAGGGGAGGAAGAGCAGAGGATGGGGGTGGTCCAATAGACTATGGTGGCAGGTTATCCATGCTTCAGTGGTGAGGTGGTAACATTGAGGAGTGGGAACCTGTGCCCCTAACGCATTCCAGAGTGTTGCACACCGTTACCTCAACAAAGTGATTTATTTTAAACACATCAAAAATAGTATGTGTCTTGGAAAAATTTTTAAATTTTGTACATTAAATAAATAATAAGTAAATAAATACAAGGCAAACCCAGAGTGCAAGAAATTTAGCAGTTATCTTTATTATAGTCTAATTCGTTTATTCAGATGCTGAGAGTCTGCTTAGATACCAGTAGGGCCAAATACATGGACACACACTGCAACAAAGGGGAAATCATTTTTTAGCAGTAGGTAAAAAATCACAAATTCAGAAAAGGGCTAGGATTCTTTTCTGGCTTACTGAATAGTTTTAAAGCTTACCAGTAATGCTAGTAAGTGTGGTGAAATTAGTACATGCCTACCTGGTTGGTGTAAAACACTGATGGAAAGCATTTCAGCTGCTGAGCCTCAAGAGTAATACAATCTTCCATGCCATTGGACCAGATAATTCAACATTCAACAATATAATCTAAGAAATCAGTGAGAATATTATATGAGAATAGGTCTTGCTCTGGTTTTATTTATAGTAGTGAGACCTTGAAAATAATAGAAATGGCTAACTGGGAAAGATATGCTCAATGGAATTTGCAGCCAACAAAAATGCCAGTTTTTGAGAACCTGAAAAGGTATTTTTGATGTACAGTGGAGAGTAAAACAGGCTGTCAGGTATGTTGTCACACCAGCTTGCTCTCACCTATCTGCAAATTTCTAGCCAAGCTGAACTCTGTAACAGTGGCCCATTGGAGTTGTGTTACATTGGTAATATCAGGGCTACTTTTTCCCCTTGGGGTGTGTGTGTGGTGATGGTGGTGGTAAGTTAATGTCTTTCTTCTAATAGGGAAGAATTTGAACACATGCAATTTGAAATTCTGTGAGGACTGCTAAGTTGGTCATGTCTGGTAGTGAAGTGCTGGGAGACAGGACTCTGCCCACAAAGGCCTTCTGCCTTGGGAACTTTATGCCTTCTCCACAGCTGTTCTCAGCAAAGTGGGACTTGGAAGAACTTCTCTGCAACATGATCATTTTAAAGAAGAAAGGATAGTATTTTGTGGAAGGTTGAAGGGCTCAAAAAAAAAACCAAGTTTTTAAAAATTAGTGCTGAGTTTTCTGTCCATTTCAGCAACTTGGGTGGCCTGTGGAGGGCTCTTCTCTGGTGGGAGTGTTCTGAGGGAGGAGGCAGCCAGGTTTGGGGTCATCAGAACCTCACCTTGGCAGCACAGACACACCGATGGGTTGGGCTTAGAGCTTTTGGCTTGGCCACCTGTAGTCATGGACTTTGAGCAAGCCCCTTATTCTCACTAGAACTGAATATTCTCTGTAAAGTAGGGCTCAAGCCTCTGTTGGATAAAGTTGTGAGAGTGCTCAGAATATAAGGGCCAAGCAGGGCCTGACCGCTGGGTAGGTAGATGCTGGGTGGCAGCTCCTGCCCGTCTGTCAGCTGAGTGAGGGCTGTGGCACGGTCTCTGCCTTGGAGCAACAGCTACACACTGTGCCTTGCATTACATTCTGTCCTAGCCAGGGAAGGAGTGATTAACTATCTGTTTATTTTACAGCCTGCTTCTGAGAAAGCAAAAAATGGCCGTGATACCTGTGAGTATTTTAGTTTTCCTTTCATTACTTTTTGAACAAATTGGCTTACCTTTAGCAACAGATTATGTGAAGTTCATGAAGTATTCACAGATTTATTAACTACCTGGCATGTTTTTGTCTTGTCAGCTACAAAATGGATGATGACAGTCTTTGTGATGTTTTTCAGTGTTTCCACAGGTCACTTGTAGGGAGCAGGTAGAAAGTTTCAAAGTACTAAACGTGCATATTAAAAGGATATTTTAAAAAATGGGATTCGAAGAATGAAATACTATATTACCTGGCATTTTTCTAGTGGTTTCCTTTTACTATTAGTGCTTTGACATATAAGTCACTTAATCAACAACTTGATGAATGGAGTATGATGCCATTTTTTTCAGGGGGAAATGATCACTTATGCCTTGCAGATTTTTTTGGTCAGGACCCTCTAAAGGATTCCATTTCAATGTGTTTTGATAGCAGTTGTGTTATTTGTGTATTTCAGCTCTTGGGACTCCAAAAGAATCTGAGAATGCCCTTCCCATCCAAGTCGATTATGATGCTTATGATGCCCAAGTGTTTAGACTCCCTGGACCTTCGCGGGCTCAGCGCCTCGCCACCTGCAGGTTTTCTGCCACATTCACTCTGGGTGGATATAAAATTTGCTGCCAGACCTTCATGAGAGAGAGCAACCTTGAAAACGGTTTACGTAAAATCAACCAAATGGAAGCTATACCATGTGGATTATTAGGGATTCTGTTTTCAGGTCCTCTGGTTGTCTAACCCATCTGTTTTATTAGCTGTGTTTGCTGTGAAGTATTATTCCCAACTAAGGAGAGCATTCTTCTGCTTTTCCTTGCCAAGAGAAGCATTTCAGAGATTCTGGAATCTTCTCACTGGACTGGTGTTAATATATGTAGATTCTAGAGCACAGAATGTCTTACATTTGTTAGTCCCAAAGGATAAGAAACTTGTTCAGTTACTAAAGTTTGCTCCATGGTGATGACTTGTTCATATAATAGGTTAATTATAACTTAGTTAGGTTTACTAATATATTTACTTCTAGTACTGTGTCTAACATTGGGCTTTGAGATAAATAGATTTTTTTTAGTGCTTTATAGTTTTGGTTTTTATGCTTTATGGTTCCTATGCTTAGTTCACGCTGTAGAACTCTGTTATGAATGTGTGAGAGAAAGTTCCAGCTTGTTTTTTCCCCCTCAGTGACTAAATTAGTCTGTTTTCCACATTCTGTAAATATGCAAGAATCTAAGCACAAACAATTGGAAGAACATTCCATCTCTTCAGAGAGTGGCAAAGGAGTTTATATTGGCTATGTGACTATCTTCTGTCTTTTCCCCTCATTTCATCTGAACAATTCTGAAATGTTCAGAGCTCAGAACAACTCCCCTACACATAGAACTCTTCTTCTGAGTATTTAAAATGCTTTCATAGTCCAAAGCCTTTGCTTTTCTCTTTTCTAAATCAAAGATGGCAGGACCTAGTGTTTTTAGAGACTTAGGTTGTGTGTTCCTTGAGGGCACAGACCCAGTTAATCAGTGTTCTGTCCCCCACACTGAGCTGAGCAGTGTATTGAGATAAGGAATATGTAGTCAGCCCTTGGTACTTACTTCAACAGGATCTCCTTCCAGGTGGCAAGAGAACAGCTCTGATGTGAGAGAGGCAGCCTGTCAGTGCTGGCTGACTCTTAGTCTAGATTTTTACATCCCCATTGGGCTTCTCTCCTTTTGATCCTTCTTTCTACCACTTCCAGAGGTTTTCCCCTTAGGGAGTTTTATGTTTTAAAATAAAGGTATACTTCTTAATAAAATAAAAAATAATAATAAAAAAAACTTTTTAAAAAAGGAATTGTTTAAACATGCTCAAATAGAGAGACTGCTATAATGAACCCTTAGTGTATAATGAACCCTTGTTTTATCACTTTCAGCACATTTTAAGTTTTACTTGAGTATTTTGAGACAAATTGCAGGTATCTTTTTTATTTCACTTGTAAATATTTCTGTATATGTCTTTGACAAAGAAGAATTAAAAGAGAAGTCATCACATTACCCTTATTACTAACAAAATCAACACTAATAGCCTCTGATAGGCCACAGTCAGGTTTCCTGATTGTCTCAAAGGTGTGTTTGTACTATTGGTTTGTTTGAATTGGGATCTAATGAAGATGCACATATTACATTTGGTTATAAACTCTTTTTTTTCATGCACATAGAATGTTTTCTTCATTATTTCCCTATAATGTTTAACTTGCTTTCTGTTCTCTGAATTTCCTGTAAACTAGCAGTTATCTCTAGAGGCTTGATTAAGTTTAGATTCTCTCTCTCTCTTTCTACACACACACACACACACACACACACACACACACACACTTTTTTTTTTTTCTTTAATGTATTTCTCCAGTGGAGCTCTGTACTTTCTCTTGCATCTCTTTGTATCATGTCTGGTTACCCCATTTTCAGTGATAGGAGATAGGCGAGGTTACACCAAAACTTGTGTTTCTTTATAGCCATCATCCTAGGATTTTGGCCATTTGAAAACATCAGTCACGTCCCCCTTTTCTTAAAGAACATCTCAAATTTCTCAGGCAAAGTACCCCCTGCAGTATTTTCCACACACTGATCATATTGGGGTTTCTCACTTGGCGCTGGTGACAGGTTTAACGTTTTAATTATAGGTAGGACAGCAGCTTCTGCTTGTTGCTGACTTGGCTCTCACCTGTCAGGTCTGTGCGAGAGCGGGAGAATCACAGCCGAAAGAGTGTGAGCTACTGTGATGTCTCATCCAGCCCTTCCCTGGCCAGCCGTGCACTGCCCCCTGAGGAAGTAAGGAGCCAGGCTTCTGATGACAGCTCCCTGGGCAGGAGTGCCAACATCCTGATGATCCCACATCCCCACCTGCACCAGTATGAAGTCAGCAGCTCTCTGGGCTACACCAGCACTCGAGGTCAGAGAGTTTCCTTCCTGGTCTGAGGGATGGGGGATATATGGCCAGTTTCAGGGTGATGTCTCATGTCTTAATTATATCCATACTAGTGCAGTGACTATAAATGGCCATAACTGTACATGTATGTATTGTATTGTTTTGCTCTATCCATTCTTCCCTGCCATTAAAACTTTATACCTTTTCACATGTTAATGAAAAGCTTTTCTGGGGCTTAGAAGCACTTGCGTATTTCCATTTGTGCCATACTTAAAGCATCCTTGTTCCGCTTTAAGATTTCTCCTGTTATCTGAATTTCACTAAGGTGCACATCTCTGTTTTTCCTGTTCATCCAGCAGTACCTGCACGAGAGTATACAGCGTTTTCCTGTTTTGTTTTTCAAAGTTTTTGATCTTGAAGAAGTTAATGGATTCATGGGAAATCACAGAAAAACAGATAGGCATGCCCCTATACCTATCTCATTTTCCCCAGTGGTGATACCTTGCATAACTATAGTATGATATCAAAGCTAAGGAACTGAAGTTTGGTGTAATCCACAGAGCTCATGTAGATTTCCCCAGTTTTTCCTGCAGTCATTGACGTGGGTATGTATTTCCATGCAGTTTTATCATTTGTGTAGATTTGTATAAGCACCAGCGTATTAAAGTACAGAACTCTTCCATCACTGCAGGGCTCCCTTACGCCACCCCTTTATAGCTACACTCTTCCAGTAATCGATCCCCTTCTCTGTAATTTTGTTATGTCAAGAACATGACATAAGTGGAAGCATAGCTCTCCTGACTTCTTATCACTGATTTAGAAATGATACCTGCACGCAGCTGCCTCCTGTTGCCCTGGAAGGATTCCCAAAGGGCAGGGAGTGTTTTCTTTAACCCAGAATGTTGATGGGATGCTGTCAGACCTAGGGCATTTTTATCTTTTAGGCACCAAGGGCCAAGGAAAACTTTAGTTATTGGAAAAGAGACGTTTTTACTGGTTCAAAGAATTAAAAAGGAGGGCCTCCCTGGTGGCGCAAGGGGTTCAGTCTCAGCACTATGAAACTGTCAGCAGCCACTGCAACACGAATTCAATTCCCAGCCAGGGACCTGACCCACGTGGCACAGCAGACCTCTCTTGTCTCACCTGCTGCCCCGCTCAGCAGTGTATTTCAGTAGATCTGCCTGTTCTGTTCCCCACTCTGTCTCTTGTGTAGCCTCTCACCGCCTCCCCTACCCACCTCTGAACTATACTCCAGCTCTTGTATGCATAAATAAAGATAAATCTTGAAGAAGAAAAAAAAGGAAATCCTGAAGGAAAGAGGAGCAGATATTTAATTATGTGAGCAGAGAATATAACCTGTACCTAGTTACCTACATAAATTAGGTTTATTATTGAAGAGTTTTAATGCATTTGAAATTAGGTTAGCTTTTTCCCACCTAGAAATTTCTAAATTTGTATGACAGTAATACTCCTATTTTGCTGAACATATTCTTGAAGGCTCTGTAACAAAAGCTTTGCTAATATAAATCTGTTAAAAGCTTTTGTTATTCTAAAAGCCAGAACTTCTCTGAGGAGGTAATAATTGTATTTAATCTAAATAGCTTTGAAAGTAGTTTTTATAAAAATTATCTGAATAGTAGGATTGATTTCATTGCCTTTCAGTGATACTTTGGAATTTATTGGGAAAGGCAAAAAGCATTTCATTGACTATCTGGAAGGCCTTCATTTCCTGTTTGTTTGTTATGTTTAGGAATTCTCCCCCACGTGCAGTTGATGTAACGCAGAAACAGTTCCCTTTTCCCATACATGTACTTTCCGTTAGTCCCATTTCTCACTCTAAAATATGTGCTCACATTGTAAATTTCTTTTTCCTTTTTATTTCCATAGCTAACTAGACTGTATTTCTTTTAATTTGGTAAGCCAGAGCATCAGTTCACTAATTTGCAATGAGAAATATTAATGCACATCAGTTTATGAAATTAATGAATGTGTTAATTGATAATATCATTTAACAGTATATATTAATTATAGAATGCAATTAATTGGTATAATTGGTTAATATAATTAATTAATATACATCTTTGCTAGGCTTTGGGTTGATAGGAGTAGCTAAAACAGTTTTATTTATTTATTTATTTATATGTACAGAACTGGGATACAGGCCAGAGATGCAGGAGTGGTGAGAGGGTTCACCAGGGACAGAGTGGGTTGCAGAACAGGCAGATTGACAAAGTACACTGCTGAGGGGAGCAGTGGGAGAGACAGAAGAGGTCTGCTGCACCATGTGGGTCAGCTCCCTGGCTGGGATCGAACTCAGTTGAAGCAGCTTTGGCTATGGTTAGTTTTGAGTGCTGTGCTTTCACCCAGTTTGTCACCAGAGTGGACCCAGATTTGTTTTTATTTTAAAGATTTATTTATTTATGCATAAATAGAACTGGGGTAGCGGCCAGAGTTGTAGGGGTGAGAGGATTCACCAGAGATGGGAGTGGGGAACAGAACAGGCAGACTGACTGAAATACACTACTGAGAGGAACAACAGGAAAGATGAGAGATCTGCTGCCCCATGTAGGTCATCTCCCTGGCCAGGGGTCAAACTCATGCTGGCGGTGGCTGCGTATAGCCTCACAATACTGGCCTTCAATCCCTGTGCCACCAGGGAGGCACCAAGACAGATTATGGTCTTGATCTTTAGTTGAAGCATGCCACTTCTCTCTGTTCCATTTGCTGAAACTGAGTTATTTGGTCTCACTGCAAAGGGCCTGAAAACTATAGTGCCATTGTGTGCCTAAGAGGAAAATCACAACAAGTTTAGTGAACACACTGACATCTCTGTCAGTGTCTATCCTTTCAGTCACCAAATGTCTACTTTTATTGTTCCTCCCACTCCACCCGCTTGGGTGACAGCGCAAGTCCTATCATTAATTCACTGTACCCAGCTTGAAGTCTAGGGCCTCTGGTAATGTGTGATCCTTGGGTTTAACTGTGCTTTCACTGGGCCAGTCATTTAGGAACTCCTTTCTCCCAAGTATTTAAAAAGTTAATTCAGAATTTCATTTTCACATAGTTTGACAGTTTCACTCATTTCTCTCACTCCCTGATGCATATGAGGTCCAAGATTGTTGTCAGCGTTGGCCAGTTGGTCTGCCTAATGCTGGTTTCATTGTGGCTCTGTGCTTTCTCCTTGTGCCTCCACAATACCTAGCAGATGCCCTGGAGAACATGATGGAGCCACCGCAGCGAGATTCCAGTGCACCCGGGAGGTTCCACGTGGGCAGCGCAGAATCCATGCTGCACGTTAGACCTGGGGGATACATGCCGCAGCGGGCACTGATTAACCCTTTTGCCCCCTCACGAATGCCCATGAAGCTCACATCCAATAGAAGGCGCTGGATGCACACTTTTCCTGTGGGTAAGTTGGTTGCTTAGGAAAGAGCCCTGGGCTGGGAGCTCATAGTCCTTATCCTCAGCACCAGTCAGTTGTGTGACCCTGACCAAATATCTTAACTTCTGCGCCTCCAGACCCCTACCTGAAAGATGGGGGCCCCATGCCCACATTGCCTTTTCCAGAGTTCTAGAGGACAGACTGGGGAATGGACTTTGTAAACGTGAACTCGCTTTGCCAGACTAAAGCTGCCGTTTCTACCAGAGAGGGACTGCACTTGCCTCCTGCCTTCCTTCCCACGGCTGATGTCCCCTGCTGTTCATTCCTCCTTCTCTAGCTCCGAATATTAATGTTTCTGTCTTGGTTTTGCAGAGCTATCTTACTTTGTCTTCTATGGGGAGTCTGTGACAATTGAAAAAAAACCTGTTTCTTTTTTTTTTCAAATTCTGTTTTCCCTAATCCATCCACTTTGATCTGTTTTGTTTTAGGGAAGATGATGGTAAGGTTTTATAAAGTTGTGTCTAAAATTAAACTTCAGCTTAAAGGACTCTTCCTTGGCTAGGAAGGAGCAGATGGAGTCAACTCCATGGTTTTTCATAGAAACCATCCTGCTGAACATCTGGAAACATCTAGTTATTTTCTTTGGTACTTTTACTGTTCAAGGTTTAGTAGGTAAGAAATATATCTGGTTCTTTGAGCTATAATTGGGGTCCATCCTAATTGCCTTTTTGTCTCCCGTATCTCTGCAGTAATTACTCACACGACTTGTTTCCCTCTGGTGTCTCTGTCTTTCCATTCTTACTGCCCCCCACTACTGCCTTTGAGTTCTGTTTCTTCCCAGTCCTTCAGTTCTTGTTTTCAGTGCTTTTCCTCCCTCCATCACACACTCGTCACTAACGCGCTCTCTGAACACCGCTTCCTTCGTGTTACTCTCCGGCCCAGTGGGCTCTGCCAGTTGACTCCCTCGTTGGCCAGGCTCTCCAGCTATCCATTTCCCCCTACTCATCTCAGAGGTTCTTTCCTTTCCTAAGCTAGCTGCGTGGTCTCCTGCATGTGTTTTGCCACATCCCTGCTTGGGATTTCACACCTGACATTTCTTCTACCAGATGCCCTCTCCTTTCCTGCTAGCCTGGTTTAGCACTCAGCTCTAAAACTTCTCTTTCTCCAGGAAGTATTTTAGATCTTCCTAATTCTGACTTATCTCCTACTTGATGCCTTTTTTGTACAAATACATCCTCTGCTTGTAGTCAGTTATTATTTTATGTCTTAATAGTCGCTTAGTATTTCCCTTCGCGTTTCATTTGTGTTAACCCTCCTGCCTCTTATACCTCAGTATTTCTCTCCAACATTTCAGTTGACAGTCATGAGATAGAGGCTTCTAAAATCTTTTTAGCCTGAACAGATTGACAAACATGAGGCTACCGCCAAGGATGAGTCCTGAGTGGGAGAGGAAATGTCCTGTCTGGTTCTGGAGGGCCGTATCTGTGTTCCTCTCTGGTGTGCTCTTCTTTTAACTCTCCAACACCCATATCACAGCAGCTGGAAATAAGGAAGATTGAAGTTAAGTGCACAGCACTAGCAGATAGGTGGGAGAGATGCTCAGTGGATCTTTGTCTGGGTAGGACCATCCGGAGAGGCCATCCAGATCCATCACCAGACCCGACAGAATATGGCGGAGCTGCAGGGCAGCGGGCAGAGGGACTCAACTCACTCCTCTGCGGAGCTGCTGGAGTTAGCGTATCATGAAGCTGCTGGAAGGTGAGGTTGTGCACATGACTCTGGAAGGTACCTCAAGAGTGCATTCTGGCAACCAGGACAATGTACAGACAGAATATTGTTTGTAAGCCTTGAAGGGACTGCATGAGATCAGGGCCATCTTCGCTAGTCAGCGTCACTCCCTTCAGTGAGCCGAGTGCAAGCAAAAAGCCTGACATTTGTGCCAGACATGTTACGTAGGCCTGCTCTAGTTTTCACTTTCATTCAGAGTACACCTTGGAAACCTCAAACATGAGTTTCTGCTAAACCTCAGTCAAAAGTAAAAACAAGTGCTGAAATACATATGCTATGTGTTTTGGGCAGTATGTTTATAGCTTGTCATTTTGGTTGCTGAGAAATTCCAATGTTGATTGTAGACGTTAATGTAAGGGAATTTGAACCTGTGTTCATAGAAACAGTTCTTTGAACCAGAACTCTGAACATGTTACAGAGAGTCGTTTTAGGAAGCAAGTTGTTTAAGCCTTGGCAAGCCATCTTTGGTCCCTTTCAAATCACTTCAATGTCCCACAGGTTAGATTAGGGATGTAGCAGGGTCTGCTCTGCTTTATCAGATTAACTTGTCTATCTTTTCACGCACCTCATAGCCTCCTCGTGGAGTTGGCAGGAAAAGGGCTGGGACAGAACGGGCAGGCATCTTGAATGGCAGTGGAAAAGCAGCAGGGGCGCCAGGGGAGGCGGAGCAGGCCACGGAGGCCAGAGCGGCGAACAAGCAAGCCCTGAGGCCTGCTGGCCTCTGAGATAGATCCAGTGGTTGCCATCCTGTGCGGCTGAATATTCAGTTCTGTTTCTAATGAAATCCCCTGGGATACAGGGTAGGCAGGAGAAAAGGTGATGATCTGCATTAAGCCAGGTGGCCGGGCTCTGTTCTTTGCAGGCACAGCACTTCCCGCCAGCCTGGTGACGGCATGTCCTTCTTGAACTTCAGTGGAACAGAAGAGCTTTCTGTCAACCTGCTTAGCGACAGTGGTGCAGGTAACCAGTCTGAGAGGTAACAAAGTTGGGATGCTCAGAGCAGACTCATATCTAGAAATGACAAGAGAACCAGAAAAGCAGGACCATGTCTATTTTGAGCTTGTTTCAGCCACAATTTTGGGTGACCTATTTAGAAGCTGTGCTTTATAATGCATGGGATTATAAATGAACTGCACATTATGTTTTTAGCTGAGAACATGGTGGTCACGCCACATTTATCATCATGTCACGTAAGTCGTGATTGAAAGCTGATCATGAGCTTGGTTTGGGCCAGCACCAGGGATAGTGCTTGGCTCTAGAAGAGCTTTTAGTTTTCTGTGTTTGGGGGGCAAACCCACTTCCATAAACATAATCAGAGGAGAACCATGTTAGTTATGAGTGCAGAAAAGAGAAGGGTGTGTAGTTCCTTAAAGAAGTGGATATCTACATCAGACTTGAAGGGGTAGAATTTTGTTTGAAGGACTTTGAAGATGAGGTTTCTAAGTGTAGTTTGTGTGATGGGGAAGAGTATGAACTTACCTTCCTATAGGTTTTATGTTTTGTATGCTCATTGCCTCATCCAGTCATCTTAGTAGGGCATGTTATTAAATATATCTTAAAGTTGGGGCATCTCAGCTCCCAGAAGTATAGAGATACTAAACAATCCCTCAGGTCAGTCGCCAGAGGTCTTGACTCAGACGGCTCGTTCTCATTGTGGCAGCACTGCTCGGTGCCTAACGGTGTAGGGCAGCATGAGTTGGGATGGGTCAGCAGCTGTGGCTGCAGTGGCTTTAGCTTAGTGCTGTGCTTTAACCTGCTGCAGCACCAGGGAGGACCTCACTTTGTTATTTTTTTAATTGCATCTTTTTTTTAAATTGAGGTTCCATTGGCTCACACCACTGTGTAAGACTTAGGTGTGTAGGCTTACACCTCTTCAGTGGTGTGATACCACACCGCACCTACCACCAAAGCATCCATCATCCTCTGATGTAGCCCTTTGCTCCCTCTTTCCCCCGATACTACTTACAGCCCCCTTCTGATAGCCTCAATTCTGCAGTCAGACTTCTAGAGTTTGTTTTCATTTAGCTTCGTGTGTTCCTTGGTTTGGTTTATATTCCATATATGAGTGTCATCCTCTAGCATTTGTCTTTTTTTCCTTCTGACTTACTTCATTTAACATCAGCCCCTCCAGATCTATCCATGTTGTTGCAGATGGTTAATTTTATTTTTTAATAGCTGAGTAGTATTCCACTGTGTGTGTGCTATATATAGCTATATATATAAATCTTCTTTTTCCACTCTTCTTTGGGCACTTGGTGGTTTCTATAAATTGGCTACTGTAAATAGTGCTGACAAAAATGGAGTGCTTTATAATTTGCATGGCAGCCTCTCCTGGGAGCCCTGCTAATCTTCTCTGTATCATCCCAATTTTAGTATCCATGATGCCAAAGAAAGCACCCGTCCTTTCATTTTAGATGAAAAAACAAATTGAAAGTTGGGGGATAAGATACATTTTTTTAGAGATTTATGCTTATAGAACTGGGGTACAGGCCAGAGGTGGATTGTGTGTGAGAGGATTCACTAGAGACAGAGTGGGGGGCAGAATAGGTAGACAGACTGAAATGTACTGCTGAGGGGAGCAGCAGGTAGGTCAGGAGACCTGCACCATGTGGGTTAGCTCTCTGGCCGGGGATCAAACTTGTGCTACAGTGGCTTTGGAGAGCTTCATAGTGCTGTGTTTTAACCTGTTGCGCTACTAGGGAGAGCCCACTTTTTTTTTTTTTTTTTTTTTTTTTTATTAAAAAGTTTATTTTTACATCATTTTTCACATTTTTTTTTTCTTCATCTCAATTGTAATCCCCATGGGAGAGCCCACTTTTTAACTTTTTTTTATGATTTATTTTATTTATGCTTATAAGAACTGGGGTACAGCCAGAGGTGCAAGGTCATGAGAGGATTCACCAGAGACAGAATAGGGAGCAGAACAAGTAGATCTGTTGAAATATACTGCTGAGGGGCAAACAAAAAAAAGAAACACATGTCTTTTGCAGCAACATGGATGGAGCTAGAAAAGATCATGCTTAGTGAAATAAACCAGAAGGAAAAGGAAAAATATTGGATGGTTTCTCTCATAGTAGGAGTATAATGGACCAGGAGAGAAAATAATGATAATGATGAACAGCTATATACCAGAGACATTTTGTGGGGATGGAGTGGTGAATGGGATCAAAAACAGTGGGGGAAGGGAAATGCACTGGACTGTGGTGATGGCACCCGGTGATCTGGTGATGGGAAGCCCAAGGGGATTGCAACTGAGATGGAAAATGCACAAAAATATGTAAAAATAAGCTATTATAAAATTAAAAAAGAAAGAAATACACTGCTGAGGGGAGCAGCAGGCCAGACAGGAGAGGTCTGCTGTGCCATGTGGGTCAGCTCCCTAACTGGAGATGGAACTCATGTCTGAGCAGCTCTCAATAGCTTTATAGTGCTGAGACATAACCCCCTGTACCAACAGGGAGGCTTTCAATAAGATACATATTGTCCTTATCATCAGGGTGCTGAAAATGTTACTTGTTTGCCTATTCTTAAAGCACCCTCAGAAAATTATGAAGGCAGTGTTTCTGTTTTGCTAAATAAACCATTTCATAGGAACCTAAAGTTTGATCTTCTTGTGTTCTAAGGTCGTACTGAGGAGGGCTGCTCTGGTGCTCATTGGACTCATCTTGAGCAAGTTTCCCCAGTGACCTCTGTAGCAGGAGGAATTGTGGGTTCAAATGGTAGAAGCATCAGACTCGACCCACGGTAGTCTTGAGTGATTCTGGCCTTGGATAGCCAGATGGTTATCAGTACTTCTCAGAAGGTACTTTTGGAACTTTCAAATGCACTCTGATAAAGAGAGAAGTTTCTGAGAGGCCTTATTTGGGGAATATCCTCAAATGACACCATCATGGAGTCTAAGCATTCATACACAGAAAAACATGTACTGTAACCTAGATATTTCACTCGGCCTTCTCCCTCTTAGGCTCCTGAGCTGTAGATCTGGTCACCTGATGGATTTTCCTGATTGATTGACACCTCCCACCCCCACCCCCCACCCCCCATCCTTAAAGCATTGACATCTGTACTGATTTCTTGCTCTTCCCCAACACACCTTTGCTCTGCTCATCACTGTAGTGGATCTGACTTCTCATCTCCATTCCACCATCATTGCTTTTATTCAGACCCCTGTCACTTCCAGCTAGGATTGTTGTACAGTCTTCTCCATGATATCTCACCTTGCCCACTTCCCCTCTGACTTATCTCCTGGATTTATCATTGATGAGTTATTTGCAAATACAAGTCTGATCTGCCTCTCCTCCCAACATATGAAGTCCTTCAGTGGTTCTTCATGGCTGATAATGCTAGTAGTTGTCAGCAGGTCCCTGCCTTTGTATCTTCCCTGCCTCCACTTCCACAGAGGACTGCATGTAGAAAAGGGAAGGCTTTAGACTCGGAGGATGGAATCCTGATCACTTCTAATGAGCAGTTAGCCTTGGGCCACTTACCCAGTCTCTGCGTATCTCAGTTTCTTCATGTGTGAGGAGGATTGTTGTGAAAATTACATGTGACTATCCCATAGAATGCTTAGAGCTATACCTGGCACACATAGTGAGTGTGCAAGAAATGAGACCTGTTACCATTTTGATTATTACACAAACATTTTATATTCTTAGTCATTGCTTATGGCTCCTCAGGATAGTCTTGAGCTCATATTCATTTGCACAGAGAAGTTCCTCTATGGAATATGCTTTTGGAATATCTTCAGCCACTGATTCTGCTTGTCAAACACCAACTCAAATCTTTATGATTCAGCTCCAGTCACATTTTCTCTAAGAAGTCTTCCCTGGTGGGTCTCTCCTGACCATGCCTTTCCAGATGTTAGGCGTGTTTCCACATGTTATAGGACACCAAATCTGTTACAGGGGAGAGGACACCCCTGAAGCCCCAAACCTGCCTGCTCTAAGTGGGTTCTGCCATACGCTGTGTCAAGACAAAACATATAAAACTTTAATGAAAAGGGACTTTAATACAGTGAATATACAATACGGAACACAAAGAATATAATTTCTAAATCAAACACTTGAAGTTACTCATTCCCTCGTGGGCAAAAGTCAACCCAAAAGGGATTGGCCCAAAGCAAGGCCTGAAAGCCCACCACAAGACTAAAGCACCTTCTGGCCAGGACCCATGGAAAAGGGTCAGAAGTGGCCAGACAAATCTGGGAGGAAGAGAGCAAAATCAAAATCAAAATAAACACTGCCATAGTCGGCTCCCTGCAGGTCTCTCACCCACATCTGCCTTAACCAGTCCAGGGCCAGGAAACAAGCACGGTTTCTTCATCACATGCTTGCTGCTCCATGTGGTTTCCTCGGGTCTCCTTCTTGTTCTCCATCCAGCTTCCTTCTCTTCTTCTCCTTCTCTTCTCTTTTTCTCTCCTCAGCTCCACCCTCCTTCTGGGTTGGGCAGGGAACCTAGAACTTCCCCTTTTCCTAGGGACCACCCTGTCACACACATAGTTCCATACACATAACCAGTGGTATTATTTGGCACATCCTGCTCCCACTGTTTATTACCTTGTCCGTCACTCCACTAGACTGAAAGAACTTATCTTCATTCATTCTATCTGCATAGTGTTTAACACAAATGAATTTGACAAATGAATTTATCCTTCTCACCATATGTGAGAAGCACTTGAGTGAGCCCTGTGATTATTTAATTGGTATGCAACTGTTCAGTTATATAGGCACATTCTAGAATATTTGGTTTCTTAGAGAAAATGTGGGCTCTGAATTTTTTTCTGGTCAGGATAATGTAGTTAAATAGGGTCATCCTTTGCCCAGTACCCTTGTGTTGTTGTTTCTAAAGATTTATTTATTTATGAATACAAAGCTGGGGTACAGGCCAGAGATGCAGGGGTGATGAGAGGATTCACTAGAGTGGGGAGCAGAATAGGCAGATGGACAAAGTACACTGCTGAGGGGAGCTGTGCACAGATCAGGAGAGGTCTGCTGTGCCATGTGGGTCACCTCCGGGACTGGAGATGGAACTGGCACTGAAGTGGCTGCAGCTAGCTTGCAGTGCTGTGTCCTAACTGCTGCACCACCAGGGAGGGCCCTGGACAGCCTTTTTCTACCTTGCTTATTTTAAAATGACTTTCCTTTCAAGCCTTCTTCAATCTGCATGGACTGTGATTTCCTTTCTTCAGGGTCACTAAATTCTTGCCTGTTACAGAAATGTTTATTGAACACTAGGCCTTGTGCTAAGGCCAGAAAAGAAACAAAACCTTTAAACACAGTGATTCTCCTACCTCATATCAGGGAGTCCTGGCTTGTCAGTCACTTGAAGTTCTGTTTGAAGCAGCTCCAAGTGGGGTGACAGCCTGACAGGGAAGCCCTCTCACAGAATGCTAACCTGTGAGTAGTTCCAGTGCTAATATGTCATCTGAACAAGTGATTGTTGTTAAGGACTGACATGATAGTTGAAGGAATGTGGTCTGATGAAAATGATCTGGAACAAAGTCCCATCCCTGCATTTCAGGATCTTTTGATTTTTACCTTTGACCTTTACTGATATTTAGGTTCTTCATCTGCATAGTGGGCTTAAAGATCTTACCTGCCTCGGCTACCTAACACAGTTTGGAATCAGCTTGGGTTCTGACTCATGAAGGGTGATATCCATGTTAAGTCCTTGTTTTGGGCAAGGTCTAAACAAACAACTAGTTAGCATTTCCTTCCTTCATTAAAAAACAAAGGAAACAGGACAGCCTCCTCTGTGACCCTCCCTTCACCTACTGGGCTTGACAGTTTGCACCATCTGCTGGTACTCTGAGCGTGACTCACTTTTTCTCCTGTTTAGATGGGATTCAGATGTGAGTCATGCCTCACAGGAGTGTCTCTGTGGGTTTCCCTCTTGGCTTTGTAGAGTTTCACTGTGAGCTTTGCGGACTAGCGCCTGTCCTCTGCTGCTCACGTGGTTTTCACCTTGCTCCTGAGCAGGGTCCAGGGAGTTGGCAGGCCAGGCAGACAGTTTGTACTCTCTGTTCCTCTAACTGTGTATACAGTGGGTAGTGTTGTTCCTTTCTCTAGGAAGAAGTGCTTTAGATAACCTTGGAAAGGAATCGTTTTATGTGCTTATTTGCCTTCTGTAGAGATTGCTTGATGAAGTGTCTGGTTGAGGCTTTCTCCCTTTTCTCACTAGTTTTCAGGATTTATTCTACATTACGGATACAAATCTTTTGCCAGATTTATAATTTTCAAATGTTCTCTCCTAAGTTGTAGTTTATCTTTTCAGAGATTTCACAGAGGATTTATTTTTGTTATATAAAAGATTCATGACACAAAGGTATGTAGAGCAAAAAATCACAAGTATCTGTTGCCACTTACCAACCACCTCCTCTGGCTTTCTTTCCTCTTGGAGATCGCTGCTGGTGACAGCATCATGATCGTCTAATAGTTACCTGTGTTTTGAAAGTTAAATATTGATATATGTGTTGTAAATTAGTCCTATTTTTGTCAGTAAGTTGCTTTTCAAACAATCTTCCTTTCTTTCCTTTGAGCCCAATTATAGGTAAAGTCATTGTTTTTCTCTTAAAGCAGTCCTGTGTCATGTTACAGAAAGCCGTGATTTGGGAAAGAAAATCACAGAAGATAAGGGTGACTATTGAGTGAACTAAATTTAAATAGGTCATTTCATATTTGCTAAGATTGCTCCAGTTAGTTGACATTGAAATATGCTGTTTTCTTAAGCAAAGTGGTGTGTTGGTTTTGCGGTGCGCGCTGTGCGCTGTGCGCGCTGTGCGCGCTGTGCGCTGTGCGCGCTGTGCGCGCTGTGCGCTGTGCACGCTGTGCTCTGCGCGCTGTGCTGTGCGCGCTGAGCGCTGTGCGCGCTGTGCGCTGTGTGTGCGCTGAGCGCTGTGTGTGCTGTGCGCGCTGTGTGCGCGCTGTGTGTGCGCTGTGCGCTGTGTGTTCTGTGTGCGCTGTGCGCTGTGTGCGCTGTGTGTGCGTGAACAGAGAATGGTATTTATGACCTCAGCATACAGTTCTGGCTCACTCCCAAATTTTAGATTGCACTTTTTTTTCTTTGATTGATTTTTTTGTATTATTTGAAATACTCAGCACAGAATTTGTACTTGGTTCACATTTTTATTTTTAGCTATAGTTTTGGGCTTTTTCAGCCATAACTGGTCAGAACTTCCTTGCAGAAAGAACTTCATTGAAACAAACTTTTCATCTTCCTATAGGTATGAATCCCAGGACCCAGAATAAAGATTCTCTTGAAGACAGTGTTTCTACCTCTCCAGACCCAAGTAAGAGGGGAGATGGTTGACCGGGGGAGGGGGGGGGGGGGGAGGGGGGGGGGGGAGGGGGGGGGGTGATTAGAGCTGAGAAAGCAAAAAGGAAGCCCTATGGCAAGAGAACGGTTTGAAAGTCCATTCTGGAAGTTCTGGAGTGCTAGAAGATGATGTAGTGAGGGAAGACTCTAGCCTCTCCAGTGGAAAGTGAGAGGAATGTAGCCAAGTGACCTGTCTCAGAATGTGATTCCAGAACACATGGGAATGGTCATGGAATTCCTGTGAGACCCATATGCCAGTCCTGAGCTAATCTTAGCCATTTCACGCCTACAGGTGGCTCCAGGTGAAAGTCAAAAAGCAACAATAAGAGCTGGGACTGTTTGCATATCTGTAGCTGAGAATATTGGGATATGTTACATTTATTTTGATCATCCTTGTCTACTGAAAATAGGTGTGAAATAAGAGAGCACCTAACTATGTTAATAGCAAAATACGGAAAAAAATCTTACCCTCAGATAGACCTTATTTTATTCAGCCATGACCCATAAAGATACATCACAGACTCCCTGTCTCTACTTACAATAAACTTAATAATTCTTTCACTATTTCTTCAGTCCCTTGTATCAGTCAAGTTTAATGGCATTATTGAACATAGTACTATATCCTGTTTTAAATAGTTATTTCTTACTAGACGACTTGGGTGGTCTCTAGTTTTTTAACAATAGCATACAATGCTGATATAACATGTGGTACAGTAGCTGTATTTTTTTTGCAGCTCATGCTCTGGGAATATATTCTCCAAAGTATGGTTGGCAGATTGGCTATTTTCCAGGAAACTGACCTCAATGTAAAAATGAGCCTGTTTCTCATAAAATGATGTAAAAAATAAACTATTATATTATTTTTAAAAAATAGGAAAAAATGGGGGAGAAATGGTGGTATCATACTTCTGGGCTTATAGTTATACTTAAAAGCAATAATAAATAAAACAGCATGGTACTGGAACAAAATAAGAAATTAAAAAAATAAGCCTGTCTCTTCTCTACAATCCCAGTTTTAGCTTTATAGTCTATGTTTATCATTGTTGTTAATGTTTCTGAAGTGGAACCTCCTCAAAGGCCTTCTTTGTTGGGCTTGAAGAGACCAGAGTTAGAAAAGAAACCACCCTCTTACCAGGGAAAGAAAGAACATCATTAAATTAAGAATCTATCACCATAGGATTTTGGACCAGGCATTAGATTCTTTGCATCTTGGTATGTGCCTAGAGGAAGGCATTTCTAGGCCCTCCCTGGTGGCGCAGCGGTTTGAGGCGCGGCACTAAGAAGCTAAAGCCACTTCTGCATGAGTTTGATCCCCACCTGCCCCGGAGGTGACCAACATGGTGTGGCAGACCTCTCCTGACCCACCTGCTGCTCCTCTCAGCAGTGTACTTCGTCAGTTGGCCTGTTTCCGCTTCCCACTCTGTCTATGGTGAATCCTCTCACCGCCCCTGCACCTCTGGCCTGCACCCCAGTTCTGTATGCACAAATAAATAAACCTTTAATAAAAAAGAAAGAAAGAAAGCATTTCTAACATATTGCCACAATCCTGAAGGTCAGAAAGCCAGTAAGGGTCAGAGTGATAGAGGAGGGTGTAAAGATACAGCTGTCTTCTGCATCTGGCTCTCCCACTGTGGCTTTGATCAGGCCTCTTCCTTTTGCCCATGGATTTAATCAGGAAGCAGAACAAATGCATTCTTGTCCGCCATTTAGCTAAACTGGGGTGCTTAACTAAGCTGTTCTGGGCTATATTTTGAATTCCTGAAGTACTCATGAGATAACAGTTAGACTTGTCAAATCAGAGAGTGGGATGGTGCTTGGGGGGAAGGAGGAATGACATTTGCGACTCACTGGGCATAAAGCATCACTGATTCAAGAGGACAAAGTTCTGTTGGCATCTGGTACAACACTCGGCTTAAGTTAACAATGGTGTGTGGAACATTGAAAAATTTAAGAAGGCAGAGTGTATGTTAAGGATTCTTACAATAAAATTCAAACAAACAAAAATACCTCTCAACTTAGGCCTTTTGGGAGGTGACGTTTCACCCAAAGCAGTGAGCCTACACGGGCACATTTCCTGCTGTGCCTTAACACACAGGTGCTCGTGTCCTTAAACTCCAGACTCAGTGGAACTATTTATACTGGGTAGTGGTGTGTAGACCTCTGAGCAGAGAAGCTTCTGGCCCTGTCACCTCTGGGAAGTTGGACTTGGCCACGGCTTTAAAGGGGCTGGTCTCTACCACACCTGCTCTTGGAGGCAGCGTGAGAGCTGATGAGAGGATGGGCTATACCACAGCCAGGGGGCCTGGCTAGTTTTCATGAGTAGAGTCTAGGGATGCTGCTCACTGTGATTGCACAGGACAGCCCCCAGCACAGAGACTTACCCAGTCGAGAAATCAGTGGAGCTGGTATGGAGAAGCCCAGTTTAAAACCGAGAGAGCAGGCAATTCCAGACAGACCACATGGTCAGGTCCATTCCATGGGGCACAGTTTTGATTTATAGGTTATCAAACTCTATCTGTTAAAATTCCAGTTTCATAGCTTCCCAGACATCCTTCCTTAATTTCCCTTCCCATCCTCTGGATCTGTGACTTGTTTTCGCAGTTCTAAAAGTATTCCTGAATTCTGCTGCCATGTACTGTTCACCTCAAAATCCAACTGAGCTCTCCTCTTCCCACCCAGCCTCTCTACAGTCCTCTGTAGGGGCTCTGGCTTCTTCTGCTATTGGAATGTTGATTTGCTTCAAAGTGTAACTGCCTGCCCTGCAGTAACCTCACTGGCATTGCGGCTGTAGCTGAAAACCAGCAGAAAATGAAAAGTATCAGCTGTGAATCCCATTTGCATGATGGGATTGGATAAGCACGTGCACTGCATTGTCTAACAAACTCTGTTTCTTTCTCTTTCTCCCTTCCCGACCCCCTTTCCTCTTTTCCCTCCTTTTCCTGGCAATTTTATCACCTTTCACTGAACTCCCCCCAACCCATGTCTCTTCTGTCCCTCCCTACTCCCTACCCATGCCCACACCTACCATGGTCACCACGTATACCTTTCTCCCCGTTACATGAGGCAGTTCTGACACTGTCTGCTCCCCCTGTAGTGCCAGGCTTCTGTTGCACAGTGGGAGTGGACTGGAAGTCTCTCACTACTCCGGCGTGCCTCCCCCTCACCACCGACTACTTCCCCGACCGCCAGGGCCTGCAGAATGACTACACAGAGGGCTGTTACGACCTCCTCCCGGAAGCGGACATGGACAGGTTGGTGTCAGGGGATGCACTCAGCTGGCTCTAGGAGGGGTCTGGATATGTTAGGTATTTGTGTGAACACTGACTTTTCAAACCTGTGTCCTTTTATTTTAGGAGCTTTTAATAATACAGAAATTTCTCATTTGTTCTTTAGAATTCCATTGACTTGGTCCCTTTAACCATTTCTCCTCATTAATCCTTTCTTACATTTCTTCATGCAGTTGTTCCAAGCACATGAAATCTGATCTTTTCTAAGATAACTGGGCATCAAATTATCTGCCTTCTTTTTTCACCTCTTTGAATTGATCATTTCTCTCAAAGCTGGTTTACGAGTTGTTAGTAATTTGAATGGCTACCAGGGATGCTTGTGTGGTGACGAAGCAATGGAGAAGAAGGGACTGAGGATGCAGGAGTATCACTGAGTCCTGGGCCAAGTGTACTGGAGTGAACAATCATTTGCTTTTTCAGAAGAGATGAAGAGGGTGTGCAGATGACAGCCCAGCAGGTGTTTGAAGAGTTCATCTGCCAGCGTCTCATGCAGGGCTACCAGATCATAGTGCAGCCCAAGGCGCAGAAACCCAACCCGGCCGCCCCGCCCCCGCTGAGCAGCAGCCCGCTCTATAGCCGAGGTGAGTTTGTTTCCTTGGGCTTACATTGCCCCTTTGCTAGGAAACTTGTGGGGGTTCTTAAGAGCACAGGGCATTAGGTAAATTCGGAGTACATGTTTTTCAGCACAAAATTTTCCTCTCTAAATTTTACTTTTCATGAAGAATAGTCTCCATTAGAAGCAGATTTATTTTCAATACTGTCTTCAGTCATCAGTTCTCCTTTTAAGGAAGAGGATAGGACGGACTTCAAAATTCCTACCTGGTTTGGGCAGTACTGAGGAGTAGAGGCAGCTGAACTAGGACTGAACTGTCAAAGCCCACAATAAATATTCTAGACCCAGAAACCTTAATTTATTTCTAGCCTAATACTTGACACACAGAAGATTCTCAGATGCTACCTAAGCCTTAAGTTCACAATTGTTCTTTTTTTCCTATTCTAAATTCATCTTTGTCTTGTTTGTCACTGAATTTAATGACATGAAGCAAGAATGGGGTGTCTGAGTAACAGAGGCTAATAAATGACAGAGGTCATGACACTGATTAAGTTAGAGCCAGGCTCTGGAGAATTTGTTTTTAAAAAAGGCAGAGAATTAAGTGAGGGTGCCTGGAACAAGAAAGTAACAGTCACTTCCTGGAACAATCAATGAGCAACTGTCTACTTTCTTCTCATAGCTAACACGACCCCCCAATTCCCTAATTACCCAACTCTGAAACCTCAGCTCATCTCTGGATTCATTAGTGCAGTGTGAACCTGTGATTAGAAAAGAGGGAGCTTTATGGTCATCCAGTCCAGGCCTGGTTCTTAACAATGAAGTCTGAATTCTCAGTGGATTTTCTTTGAAAGCCCCTTGTCACATTTATCACATGTTGCCATCAATTCATATTCCAGATTCTACTCAGTGCTAACCTCTTTGAGTGCCAGGGCTGTTTCCGACTGACCTTTTTATTCTCCACAATAGAAACCACTGTGCCTGGCAAACAGTGATATGAGTCAATAAATATGCTTATGTATTCAACAGTGTTTTTGAAGCTCTTACTCTGTATTATCACATAGTGTGAAACTGTATAAAGGAAAAATTGAGAGTCGGTGAGAACATTTAAGATGGGACCTGATATGGCCTAATGGAGAAGGAAATGTTTGAGTGTGAAGACCTGAAGTATGTGCAGGAGTAATTAGGAGAAACAAGTTGGGAGCAGAGAGTGGGGATAGAAGCAATGAGACAATCAGGTGGTGTGCAAAAGCCCTGTGGCAGAGGGCATTGTGATACCTGCTGGGTACCCAAAAGGATGCAAACATGATGGAGCATAGTGAGTGAGCAGAGACTGGGCCAGGGGTGTCAGGAGATCCTGGTCTCAGGCATTGTGAAGGATTTTATTATTTATACCAAGAGTAGTGGGATAAATTCACCTTTGATCTCATTGGCCCTGCCCATGCTGCCCACTTACTTTTCTTGGAATAGCTGATTGATGTCCGAAATTCCATGAGCATTCAATTCTGTTCTGTTTGATTCATGAAGTATCATGTCAGATACTTGATCAGAGACTTCTTGCCTTACTATGTCCTTTCTGCCTGTTTTTCTCTTTTGGTAAATTTAATCCCTTTTAAGTCTGTAGTGGCAGAGTGGTACTGTTATAATTATTAGAAAAGCGGCTATCGTAAGTGAGCCTATGCTCCATGCTGATCAGATTTATTGAATACCAGTTGTGAGCAAGATCCTGCCCCCAGAGTTTACAGTCTGCAGGCAAACAGACTTTAAACTGATTGTGGACAGTGCTCTACAAGGTGAAGATGGGAATAACTGGTTTCACCTAATGAGAAACCAGCTACCATGCTAGATGGGCATGAGCATTATCCCATAGCATTGTCTTCCTGAGGGAGCGAGATGGGCGCGAGCATTATCCCTTGGCATTGTCTTCCTGAGGGAGCGAGATGGGCGCGAGCATTATCCCTTGGCATTGTCTTCCTGAGGGAGCGAGATGGGCGCGAGCATTATCCCTTGGCATTGTCTTCCTGAAGACCAGCACGGTGTCTGTGGCATAAACGCAGGAATGCTGGGTGGGTGGAAGCCCTCTTTCTACTTATAGGAAGTGAGACTAGAGTTTTGGTACCCAAGGTCCTATGAGGCCAGGACCTCCTGTCGTCTCTGGCAGTCTCTGCTCACTCTGTGCTCCATCATGCTTGTCTCCTTGGATGTCAAGGAGACGATTGAGAGTGAGCAAATGAAAGAGTTGGAATTAAGCTGGAGTTTCTCAGTAGGCAACCTGCCTGTTGCTCCCTTGGCGGCATCTGCAAAGTTTCTGTATGACAGTGAAAATCCTTTCAGCTTCCACTGTCCTCTCTTCTTCTGATCATGCCCATTCTCCTGCCACCACGGATGTGCCCACCTGAACAAGATCATGGGAATCTTGTTTTGGCGCAGATGTTCACTGTGGCACTCTGACTCTTGAAAGTTTGCAGTTAGTTATCCAGTAGTCCTGCTGATACCCCTAGGCCTGGAGAGTAGGGCCTGAGAAAAAGCAGGGCCCCTTGAGGATGCCAGAGCAGATGCACTGAGGGAGGCTGAGCAGGGCAGAGGGCAGGAACTGTGTGTGATTGGTGTAGAGGTAGAAGTTGGCTGCTGAGGCCAACTACCCTGCAGTCAGAGGCAGGGAGGGAGCAGGAATGAGGTACAGGTGTCCCAGGGCTTTAGAGGTGCTAACTGCAGGCTGCAGCCCTGGGAGATGACTGCCCCAAGGTAGAGGGGTATTCTGTCCAGATCCTGGGTGGTGCTGTGGCCCTCCCATCTCCCTAAGCAGTTACCCTCAGGCTCATTATTTTCCTCTTTCCTATTCTAATCAGTTTTACTGAAATGTTCTCATCCCTTCTGTGGGCAAGGCACTTTCTCAGGTACTAATAAAAATGCAAATGCAAACCAGATTTGGGCCCTAGCTTCCTGGAACTTTTAGTTTGTAAGGACTTGAGACGCCCAGAAGGAGCTATGTTGGGATAGAATTTAGACTGATGATGGGGTCTGATAGCTTCCTGGAGGAAGCTGCATTTGAAGGTGACCTTAAATGATTCATAGGATTTCAATAATGGCCTAGGAAGGGAAGGCAGAAAAAAGCAACAACTGCAGCAAATAAAGAAATGGTCATTTAAGACTGAAACTTGAGAGAGCAGTGTGGGAGCCCCGGGGGCCTGCGCAGGTTGCCACATTGCGGTGAGGGCCTGTGTGGGAGGAGTGGAGCTCCATGTTAGCCCTGCGTCTTCTCTCAGACTTACTAACAGCAGCTCCGGAACTGTCCTTCTCAGAGGCTGAGGCATGAGGCTGTTCTACTTAGAGTGTGTCATCTAGGTGCAGGCGTCCCTCAGCTCCAACCAGCTGCACATAGGTTCAGTTACAGAAAAATCCTCCAGCTTCAGGACTTTTTGCTTCAGGACTTTTTTTTAACCAAGAATAACTTTTTTTCCATGAACCTGCCTCTCTACAGGAAGTGTTTGCTTCCTTTGTTTTTCCTTTTCTGCGTCTGTCTGGAGGAAGTGATTTTGTCTCTGTTAGGCCTCGTGTCTCGAAACCGCCCTGAGGAGGAGGACCAGTACTGGCTGAGTATGGGCAGAACTTTCCACAAAGTGACGCTGAAGGATAAGATGATCACAGTGACACGATACCTGCCCAAGTGAGTCCTGGGATGATTAATGTTGAGCTTCTGTCCTGAGTGGTATCCACATGCTAACTTACGTTTATAGCATGTGCTGCGCACAGTGAACTGTGTGGGTGGCACAAAACTCCACCTGTGGGGGTTGAGCGGCTGCTCTTTGCTTTTAGAGTTACTGTTTTATTTTCTAGGGTACTTTAAAGTTGTAGCTCACCTACTCTAAAAGGGATTTGATTCCACCTACAATGTTTAGCTTGGTTTGTAACATGCAATTAAATGTGCAGAACTGAGGACAGAAGGCTGAGGAGGTTGAAGAAGATTGGAGAATTGCCACCAGCCCCATGGGCTGAGTTGGTTGCTGCGGTCCTGGCTTGCACGCCAAGAGCGGCACTAACTGTATTCAGGCAGGTGTAGAGAAGAGGTGGGAGATTCTCTTTGGGATTTCTGGGCATGTCCTTTATTTTTCAGGTACCCTTATGAGTCTGCCCAGATTCACTACACCTACAGCCTCTGCCCTTCCCACTCAGACTCCGAGTTTGTCTCCTGTTGGGTGGAGTTCTCCCATGAACGGCTGGAGGAGTACAAGTGGAATTACTTAGATCAGTACATCTGTTCCGCTGGCTCTGAGGACTTCAGGTTAGAAAACATACTTTAACTTCCATTCTCACTGCCTTGGGTATATCTTTAACACTTCTTCCCTTTTAATCTGAATACAAAATGATAGCTATTTTAGAAAAACATAGCACAGAAGCACATCGGTCTTGGGTTAAGAGTTTAGTGATGAGGGCCCTCCCTGGTGGTGCAATGGGTTAGGACGCAGCACTGCAAGCTAATGCAGCCGCTTCAGTGCAAATTTGATCCCTGGCCCCAGAGGTGACCCACATGGCACAGCAGACCTCTCCTGTCTCTCCCACTGCTCCTCTCAGCAGTGTACGTCATCAAGCTCCCTGTTCTGCTTCCCACTCTGTCTCTAGTGAATCCTCTCACCACCCCTTGCACCTCTGGCCTGTATCCCAGTTCTGTATGCATAAATAAATAAATATTTTTTAAAAAAGAGTTTAGTGATGAGAGGGGTGGTGGTGATGGGTGCCCAGGAGTGATGTATTTCATGCAAGTTAATTGTGGATTTAAAGATAAGTTTTAGGGCCTCCCTGGTGGCCTAGAGGCTAAGTCTCAGTGCTATCATCACCATGGCATGAGTTTGATCCACGGCCAGGGAGGTGACCCACATGTCACAGTAGACCTCTCCTGAGCAGTGTATTTCAGTCAGTCCACCCATTCTGCTCCCCACTCTGTCTCTGGTGAATCCTCTCACCCCCTGTACCTTTGACCTATAACCCAGTTTCACACATAAATAAAAATAAAGTTGTTAAAAAAAGATAGTTTTTAAAGTAATAAATTTCACATATAGATTGTCATGCAAAGTTGCCCCAAAAATCTTGATGATATGCTCTCTGATGGATTGTCAGTGCAGCTTACATTGTTTGCATATGCCTCACTACCTGTGGTGTCTCATTTCTAGTTTCTCTGCATGCTCTGTGATTGTGATGCTAAGAAGCCACAACTTCACTGAGCCTGGGTGCATAGACAAACCCAGGTGTCTCTGGGATGCAGAGTGAGCTCAGCCTTCATGCTCTCCCACCAGAACTTATGTTTTAAGTGACACCCGAGATGTGCCGTCAGCGATAATGTGTTCATGGAGTGGGGGACCCGCCTGCACTGAGTGTGGGAAGCGGGCTAAAAATGTTCATTGGGAGCACGGATATTACCTACTCTCCTCACCTGCACCCCTGTTTTCTTCCCTCCATAGCTTAATCGAATCTCTGAAGTTCTGGAGGACCCGCTTCCTGCTGCTGCCAGCCTGTGTCACGGCCACCAAGCGCATCACGGAAGGGGAGGCCCACTGTGACATCTATGGGGACAAGCCCCGGGCAGACGGGGAGGAGTGGCAGCTCCTGGATGGCTTCATCCGCTTTGTGGAGGGCTTGAACCGGATCCGCAGGCGTCATCGCTCAGATCGCATGATGAGGGTGAGGACTCCTGGGCCCCTCAGGGACTAAACTTTTTTATTTTAAGTTGTAATACTCATTTTTATTTGTTTATTATTTTAATAATGTATTTTTATATTTTGTATATTTTTTACATCATTTTTGTACAATATGTGCTTTTCCATCCATTTATAGTCCCCATAAACCTGAGGGACTGAACTTGATCTTGAATGTGGAAACTGTCTCCTCGATTTCAGAGGCCTCTCATTGGCTAGTTTACTTACTCCACAACTGTGCAGCATTTATCTTAAATTCAGAATAAGTTGTTCTCCCCTTACGAGAGGAAAGGAGGGAGGGCTGGGGTACACATGCTGGGCTACCCCTCCCAACCTGAAGACACAGTTCCTTCATGCGCTCCTCTAGAGATGCAGTTTTGGGCACAGCTACTTATGTGGTGGGGTGCTGGATTGCTGAGTAGAAATTAGCCTATGAAGGTAATAGCAGCAGTAGTTAACTGATTCTTACATCAGTCGCTGTTAGTTTTCAGCACCCGTGGACATTGAGCCACACTGCCCAGTGAGTGCATAGGGCTCATAGATGTGTCTGAGCACCGCCAGCTAGCAAAAGGCTGTGTGTGGATGTGGGTGTGTATGTTATGGTCTATGAATTTTAACAAATGTATAGATCCATGCCATCACCATTACCACAATTAGGTTACAGAATAGCTTCATGACTCCTAAAAATTATCATCATACTCCTCCCATCCCTACCTCTGGCAGCCACTGGTCTGTTCCTCACCATTACTATACTTAGACTTGATGCTTTTCCAAATGTCATACAAGTAGAAGCCTATAATATGTACCCTTTCCAGGCTGCCTTCTTTTAGTCAGCACTGTACCTTTGAGATTTATTCAAGTCATCCGTTGTATCGATAGTTCACTCCTTTTAATTGCTGAGTGGTGGTTCATCATTGGCCATTCTTTGTTCATTGCCATTTACAACTTCAAATTCAGTGATCTTTCCCTTACACCAGCTGCCTCTTCACAAACACCACTTGTGATTTGAAACATTTCCAGGAGAGCATGTATGCTGGAAAGAACCTGGGTTTTGAGATCAGGTACTTTTAGAGAGAATTCCATCCCTAGTGGGATTTGAGATAAGCTAAATTTTAGTTGTCTGAGACTTAACTTTCTTCTGTAAATTAGTTATAACACAATCTATTCCCTAAAACTGATTAGAAAGGCAGTTTGTTTTGAGTCCAACAAGCAGTTGGGGGCTGCAGTTCTAGAGACAAGCCCCTTCCTGCCACTCAACTGAACAGGGAGAACCTGTGTTCTTTAATGCTGTTTATTGGATTCCCGAGGCCTGAAGCGTGACAGATGTAGCACACACTTTGGGGCGTCACTGGGGCGCTCCCTCGGACTAATGGCTGTCTCTTCTTCCTTTTTTAGAAAGGGACTGCTATGAAAGGCTTGCAAATGCCTGGGCCCATTTCCACGCACCCCCTCGAGTCAACTGGACCTCCAGTTGGGAAGAAGGGAACCTCAGCTCTGTCTGCCCTGTTGGAGATGGAGGCCAGTCAGAAGTAAGTCTGGGCTTCTCTCTAGGTCCGAGGGTTTCAGTGCATGAAAAGAAAACTAAGGTGTAATACCTGATAAGTGTGAGCTTGAAATAGGCCATACTTGCAGTATGGGGCTTAATTTGAGCTACAGATGAATTTGGTTTTATCCACAGTTGTTTTTTTTTTTTCCAGCATGCTGTGAAACTTTATTTTTTTTATGTTTATTTTTACATCATTTTGTGCCTTTTTCCATCTCAGTTGTAATCTCTGTGGGCTTCCCATCACCAAATCACTCATGTGCCATCACCATACAGTCCAGTGCAATTACCACCCCCCCCATTTTTTTTTTTTTCTAAAGATTTATTTATTGTGCATACAGAACTGGGGTACAGGCCAGAGGCTCAGGGGCGGTGAGAGGCTTCACCAGAGACAGAGTGGGGAACAG